CTGGTAGTCGTGCACCCCCGACAGACTCTCTAAAACATTAAAACGTTCAGGAGTAAGCACTGCAGGACACGACGACGACAAGGAGAATTCATTCTCCCCGCTAAATTTCGGATCTTTGTCGAAACGCGACGTAATCGTTCCTTCGTCAGATTTAATCCGGCCGATTCAGCCCCCCAGGCGCAAGGGGGGGGGGCGCAATCTCGGCGGCCCATGAATGCCCCGAGCCAGAAAAGAAGAAGCACCGCGTGCAGGCAAGCGTTTCGCCGGGATTTCTGCTGCTGCTCCTCTCTCTAATTGTCGGAGTCATTCGGTTCCTTTCAAAACGGAACAGATGCACCGACCTGTGTTCGAGAGACTGCCAAAGGGGGGGTTCGAGGGGCGTCCCGGCGGTGGCTGTCTCTTGGGGTTATTTTCAGTCGATTATCCGACGAGCGTGGGGTCAACGCCGGTAGCTTCGCCCCGCTGGAGCAACAGACTAGACGACGAGTCTATTAGTGGGCCGAATGGGGGGCCCAGGATCGGGGGACGACTTCATTTTCGTCTTTGGGTCGCGGCGAACACCCTCCCCCTTGCTCCTCGCGTCCCTGAAATCACATGTTACCCGCGAGGACGACGGTTAGATTGTTTCGTCGGTGCTTCGTCATTGGTCGCGCGCGATCCTGACAAATTGACGCTGGAACACGCGCCGCGCTCTTTTGTGCCCACAAAAGCGCATCGAACGCTACTCTTTTTGTTTATTCCGAACCGACGCTTTAACTGGGAAATCATTTTCGCGAGAGGGTGGAATCGCCGGTGCCGATTGTTCTGCCGCGAGCATTGGACGTTCGTTCGTATCCATCGAAGAGGTATTCCTCGAAGATCGTACGTAGTCATTTTTCTGGGCTCGCAGTAAAATCGGTTTCGATCGCGGCGTGGAAACTTCGATCGGGAATCCGATTCGAGATGAGTCCACGCGCGTGTTTAGCGGTCAGCAGAAGGAGGGGGGAAAAAAAAGCCCAGCCGGTATTAAATGAACGAACCCTCCCCCACCCCCCATACGGTATAGCTGCTGGCTCTCCGACAAGGCACCGGCCACCCAGCCCTATCCACTTACCGCACGAATGGACGAGGTGGTCATCAGATCGATGAAAAGAGATTCGCGACACGCCACCGCGCGCGCTGCACCGACGCTAAAACTACACCCTCCGCCCACACGCCACCCCCCAGACGTTGTTTGTGTCTCTACAACGAAGCCAATCGCCCCCGCGGCTCCCGAACGTAGGGTAGGGGGGGTTGGCGAGAGAGGACGAAACTCGTAGCGTGATCTAATTGTGCCCACTCAAACCGGATCAAAACAATGCGGCGCACGAGCTCGCGCGTTGCATTTAGCTAAATGTGTCTTTTGTGACGGCCATTGCCCCTCCGCGGCGCGAATTAGACGACAAAGCGTGTCGTTGTTTACGTTCAACGGCATTGTAACGCTGGTTAACGGTCCTCGTCAAAGCCCACTTAATGGCACCTTTAATTACGAATGTATACCGAACAATGAGGTCTCCCGCGGTATCCGCCGTACGGAATTATATGGAAATATATATCCTCCGTGCGCGGAAACGCGGCCAGAACGCGGGAAACTTTCGACTTGGGTAGTTTACGGCTTCTCGGGAACAAAGCCAACGGCATCATACGGGCCCGTTACGATAATCAAATTATGCAGTTCTCTATAAAAAAAAATGTGAACTTGAAACCACGGAAATTTGTCGAGCAGCATAAAATTGTCAATAATTTGGTACTCGATAACGTAAAAAGATTATGCTCGATCCAATTGTTTTTTGCGCAACGGTATTCTAAAATGAAAGTGTTTCTTTATGTTTTATGGGCTTTTCCAATGCGATCCCGATCCCGATCCCTATTACGAAACACGGTTTTTCGCGAACGCGTTTCGTAACTTCGCGCGACGGACGGAAACTGTGCGGCGATGCCCTCGACGGAGAGGGAGCAGGGCTTGTCGTCCCGGGAGCTCGGGCAGGAATTTCGCGAGAGCAGCCGGGTAATCCGATTACCCGATCGGCCACGAATTCGCCTCTCGTATCCGGTAACCGGAAAGCCCAGCGTGAAAGTGCTAAACGAGCAATAAGAAAGTAATGGCGACGCTCAAAGCAAGAATCCCGGGGCCCCTCTGGCTGGCGACACGGGCTGCCCGTGAGGAGGGAGGCGGGAGCGGGTACTACCGCGCGCAATTACGGATTTTGAGTGACAGATGCTCGCCCAGTCGGCAGTCGGAAGATTAAAACAAGTAATCAAAGCCCCGGTAGCCACCCCGGGATGGATATGGATGGATGCATTCCCCTCCCGCCTCCTGGTAGCCACCCCACCCGACCAACCCCTCTCGCCGTGTCTCCTCGTTTTCGTGGCCGCGGCGCGTTTCGCCTCCTCGTTCCTCTTTCCGCCCCGCCGGCGTCGAACCGCCGAGGGTAACCCCCTCCTCGCCCTCGTCCTCCCTCCTCGGCCACCCCTCGCCCAACGACCGTAATATCCACCTATCAAGCCGCGCTCTGAATGCTCCTTTAAGAAAATGTTCCTTTTCGCGAGCAGTCGCGAACCGGGAAGGTTATTAGACGGCTCCGCGAGGGAAAAAAAGAGCAACCGGGCGCGGCGGAGGGGCCCGCGGGGAGGGGTTGAGGGGCCAAAGAGGCTCAAACGACGCGAGTTCTATTTCACGAGAAACGATAGAGGATCCTCTTTGACGCGCGCGCGGTCTCGCTGGGCTTCGATCGCCGGTCTTGACAATAACCGACGACGAGAGTTCCGTGATGCCTTTTTCCTATTCCCGACCGACGTGGCGGGAGGGGGATGATGTCCCTACGGAGAGAAACTAACGACGTTAAACGACCCGACCGGTGGTCGGTGGATCGGAAATAACTCGTTCGGAATGTTTACCCCGAACACGTGGCGTCGACGACGTCCGTGGATTTTTCTTTTTGCAATTACACGTGAACTGCGATTTACGAATTACGTAATTCGCGATCGCGTTTGTCGTCGTTGGGGCCCGTTCGTTCTTTACGCCGGATCGCGATATTTTGTTTCCCCGCTGCGGCTGAAATCTCGCCGGAAGTATGGAGGCAGGGTCCGGCAACTGGTGAATAACCGACCGAAATCGCGGCACGCTGGAAAGGAGCTTACGGATTAAACCGCGATGGCCACAATAGCGAGATAGATTTTCCCATTGATTCGCGTTTCATCCCTTCTGGAAAGTTTGCGAATCGAGTTGCGTTCCTTTTTTTTCCACCCCCCTCCACTTCCATTTCGCCTCGGTTCTCCGACGATGCCAGGGCCGGTTATCGATTCTCCTTTCGACGCTCGATGCCAATTCGTCGTAACGTTCGTCCGATTAAGAGTGAGCGTGGATTATGTCGTCGACGGGTGGAGGGATTTTCCTGTTCTAATCGACTTCCTAGTCGTCTATCGTCGCCGGTTTGTCCCGTCCCCGCGATTGCTGGGATCTGCGAGTGTATACGGCTTCTCGTTCTAATTGCTCCTCTTGTTGTCCGTAACTAACGCTTAACCGACCTTAACAATCGTCTCCGACTATTCGTGCGGGTATTAAAATCCAACTGCGATTGCGGTGTGGTAGACTTTGCACACCGACGGAACGTCGAAGAATAGTAGACGAGCGACGGTATTAAAATTAAAATTAATCGATAAATTAATAGCGATGGGAAATAACGAGTCACAGACAAAACGAAGTAAATCAAAGAAAAAAAAGAAGTAAAGTTTCTAGTGAAATCGACTTGGCAATCTGTTAATTATGCGTACGATATTCGGTTCGCTGTCGACGCCCAAAACGACGTCTGAAAGTTAATTCACGAAGCCTCGGAGACACGGGATCGCGTCTGCCCGCTCGAATATGTTTAATCTTGAGATTTCGGCTCGCAAAGGACAGGATTGGATTTTGTAGGGCGAGAAAGGATGAGCCGTTTATCTCAGGCGTCGCTTTTCAGTTTTTCCCTGCTTCCCGTCTACCTTATGCCGCCCGCCAAACCCAGACCCTCTTTTCTCGGGTTACTTTATCCCTCCCATTTAGGGGGGGCGTCGCCAGTATCTTCTTCGCGAAATAATAAGCTCCTATAAATTTATCATGAATTCGGAAATCAGCCTTCTCGACGACACTCGGTCCTTGGTGCCGGAATTGCATCTCAATTGATATTTATATATCGACTACAGTAGCTGCAACGCGAGGACTTATGAAAGAATTAATTACAAGAGAAATGGAAGTAGCTTTATTATAATTCCATATACTGTCTCTTCCTCTGTACATTAATTAATTAATATAACATGCATTGTACCGCCTATTGAAATTATACAACAAAATCTGTTTTCACTTGTTCGTAATTTTTTCAAAGGTATCGTTAAATTCCTCGTTTCGATCACAAAATGAAAAAGCTCGAAGCAACTAAATCGATAAATAAATTTTACTTTGTTATCGCTGAATCAACAATACAGTCCGACTCTGCGACACCCTCTGCTTCTTCCTGCGCGGATCTGAAGGGAAAGTACTTTTATAGCGGAAACGTGGAAGAGAGAGGGTAATCCAGAACGGACTTCCAAGGATTTGACCCGTCGCTATTACTCCCATCGCCACAAAGAATCAAATTAACCAGCACAAGATTGCTGTTTCCCCTCCCCCTTTATCGTGGCTCCACGGATTCCACCCCTGAACCTCTGTATCACACGCGTACATACGAGCGTTCACGCACCTTTTTCTTCCCCTCTTTCTTTCTATTCGAGCACCACGAGCTCTCGTGGCCCCTTTACGTCCGATTGAAGCTACCGAGTACATCTTCGGCCTTGTTAGAAGAAATTCTGCCTACCAAGAACACGATTATTGCAAAAATACGCGTGTATTTGCTTTTCTCTTATCGATATTCTGCTAAAGAAAAAAAGAGGACTTTTAGGTTTCCAATAATACGAATAATGCTGAACAAAAATTAGAAAGAAGAAATGGGGATAATAATGATACAAAATTGAAGAGATTCATATTAATATTTTACTTATGATACAATACATCTGCCTTTGTATAAAATGTTACGTTTAATGCTTAATTCACTGATTCAAAGTATTCTTTGCTATCCTTTGGAGTTGGTTTGATGGTCTTGGATTCGGGCTGCCAATTAGCAGGACATACTTCCCCGTGTTTTTCGACAAACAGGAAAGCCTTGAGAAGCCTTAAGGTTTCATCCACGCTTCTACCCACTGGTAAATCGTTTATGCTAAATTGTCTAAGTATTCCATCTTTGTCTATGATAAAAAGTCCGCGTAATGCAACTCCGGCGTCCTCGACGAGAACCTCGTATTTCTTTGATATTTCTTTATTAAAATCGCTAAGGAGAGGATAATTCAAACTACCACCCAGTCCACCCTCCTTTTTTGGCAGCTTGATCCATGCCAAGTGGCTGTATTGGGAATCTGTAGAAACTCCAATCACTTGTGTATTCAGAGAGTTGAACTCTGAGATTCTTTCATTGAATGCTATCAACTCGGTGGGGCATACAAATGTGCTACAAATAAAAGTTTGAAATTAGTTTTATGAAAAAAAAAAAATTAGCATGCCTCTTATTACCATAGATTAAAAACTTACAAGTCTAAGGGATAAAAGAAAAGAACAACATATTTTCCTTTGTAGTCGCTTAATTTTATTTCTTTGAAGTCTAAGTGAACCACAGCGGTCCCGGAAAAATCAGGGGCAGGTTTTTGAATTGTGGGTCGACAGCAGAGAAGTTTAGAACTAATGCAAATGTTACGTGCATTCTCTATCAATGCTGGATTCTTAGCTTTCATCAAAGATGATGTTGCTGTAAAGGCCTGTAAATAAATAATATATGCATATTTATTTATACATAAATGTTTTATTGCTATGTAACAGTACTCATTAATTCGCAAGTATGACTTTCAGAGAATCTTTCACCCCCTTACTCTATGCACCTAAATATTTCAAATTATTATTTCTGTTAGGTTAGGTTACTTACCGCTTTGCAAACCTGAGGATGCAAAGACGTTAACACTCGGAACATTGTGAATGTACAAATTACTGACTATATCGGTGCAAAAATATTTCTATAAAAAAGACGGGACTTTCAATACCGATAAATTGCAAGAACACCTTGCTCAACGGTAAGTAACGGTTGCAAATAGTCATGTAAGGCAAAAAATCCTTCTCGGAATTCCTCCTCCAATTAGGAGTGAAAGTGGGGGAGTACTTAGTACATAGTACCGTTCAGCGTCGCGACAGACCGTGGCGTGGTGTACCGTAGAGGTCTTAGTATTAATGCAGACTCAAGTTCCTTTCTTCGTTTCTTTCACGTATCGACACGACTGGGAATATCAAACCAAACATGGGTATGATATGCATACATACAATATAAATACAAACAGTTTAAATGTTTGGGAGCGGACCGACAATGTAAATCAACCCTTAGAGACTTACGCATGCGTCGAACGCAAAGCCATGAAGGGGTAATTTTCCCACTACTCCCATTCTTGGAAGAAAGCCATCTTTCCGCCTAAGATCACTGGTTGCAAATGTTTTGTATCGGGACTTTGTGAAGGTTATATAACTCACTTTTCATGCAAATGATGCATCTCAATGGAGGACGATCGAAGAAAATCACTGATTTAGTTAAACTCACTACAGCTTTCTTCATGTTTACTTAATTACTACAGATAAATCATTTTTTAACAAATACGTATTACAATTATCCTCTCATGAGGATGCTTTGTTCTTTTGGTAGCAATGCGACAGGGAGCAGCACATGTCAGGATAACATTCAAACGATTTCTGAATCAAAATTTCTGTACATATCGAATCAGAATCAATCGATATATCGCATTAATTGCTAAACCAAAGTAGTTTAATTAAATCAGAAATTAATCAATATAATTATATTTTATTCAAATAACAATATTATAAGTTTTATGTTCGTTCTTATTAAATGGGAGAACATATATTTATATATTCATATATAAATTCAAATTACGAACGATAATCATTGCATTTAAATTAAGTGTCTGGTTTTCCCTACAATGGAAGATATCACACTACATATTCGTAAATAGCATTTGTCTTTCTAATCGAACGACAACTAATTTGAAAAATTTGTTCATCGTTGGCGAAACCAGACACACCGTTAGAGACAGATTTATGCTTCCATAGTAATTGAACTTTGTTAAATGTGATGTTAGGCAATTATTTCCGATAAAAAATATATCGTGTCTGTCGCTTAACCGCTCCTTAATCGTCTTGGTTCTTAATGCAAACGTTTCTCATATTAGAACATTTAACGTGTGCATACTTCGAAGCTTTACTACAAAAACATGATACACAAGTCTGCTCGTAACGTACAGGTCACACGGCTCACTGTGCTTTCATGCACTCGATTCCTTCGTTGTCTACAAAGACAGAGTTTGAAGAATTTAAACATCCAAACAAGAACAGAATGTTTTACCTATGTAACCCCGATTCAACAATCTGTTTCTTCCTTTTTCTTTTTTTAAATTTTTAAATTTTAATTGGAAGCCGTAGCAGTTGCGCTAGGTGCAGGTGTCGCAGCAGACGTAGATTCCTCTGTAACGATTCGTCGATTCTTCTTTATCCTTTTCCATTCGCCATTTGTGTAATTCATTTGGAAATGCGTTTCAACCAACATCGGTACAGTTGTTCCGTCCGGCTGTGTCACCTCTTCGATATTTTCTGAGAGCATTACTGTGACTATATTGCCCAATTTTGGACAAGGATTGTCTAGATAAAAAAAAAAAAGAAGAAAACACATCATGAGAAAAATATAAGAAAGTAACCAAACATCGGTCTGGCACGGAACGTGTTAAACGATATTCAATGACATCGAAATTGAATACATACCCCTAGAACCAGCCATAAAACCTAGAATGAGAGCTTTCTCTGGCCGAGTTACTTTATTAGCTGTTCTAAACATTTCTTGCGCTTCTAACATTTGTTCTCGCTGAAAACACGCAAGTCAAAGATCAATGATTTTACAATTCCGTTTCTTACGTATTTTATTATTTACATTGCATAACAAACAACCCATTCCATCATTTACATTATAAAAATATTATGTGTACATACCGTAAGAGACAGTCCCTTTCTTGTATTCGCAGCCGCGTTAGCAGGTTGTGCGGTAGTTTGTATACGAATCTGTGTGATGGTTTGAGCTGGTCTGACTGTTTGCACACCAACAGGTGCAGTTTCTACCGGCGTAATGACCGTTGGTGTTGCGACCGGTAGTACTGCAGTTGGAGTTGTAGGTGTACTTGGCGCTGCAGCTATAAAAATAACAAAATTTATTACTTCCTGAATAGTGAACACACGCCAACATTACCGGCTCCTAATTTACACCAGTGTTTTCAAAGTAGTTACCATTCAAAAGGTACACAAAACAAAATTTTTCTCGCTATATGTATATAAAAACGTACGGGTTTGTGGTGTAGTTACTGCAGATACTCCACTCGGAGTAGTGGGTGTTGCGTAAGACTGTACAGATGCAACAGGGGTAATTGGGGTAGCTGGTGGATTGATCGCAGCTAATCCCTGAGCATATTCCGGTGTTGTTGATGTTTCCGTGGTAGTTGTCGTTGTTGATGCTGCAGCAGCAGCAGCTGCTTGAGCTTCCGCAACTTTCTTCTGCTGTTCTTCCAATTCCATCATTCTCTTTCGTTTCTTTGCTTGAGCATATCCGAGCGGTTGCTCGTTAATATCTAACAGTTTAATTCCACCATCCTTACGGATTCTACTACTAAGGGGTGTTCTATTGGACATTGAAGAACTCGTGAGGGAGGGAGATCGAAAACCACTTGTCGGCACTTTGCTCGGAATGCCTTTTAGAGGTGCTGAAAATAAATAAATAGTGTTACCTTCAGATTTTCAATCTCTATTTTTTGCCATTTTTAAGTGTTCTATCAGTTTCATTTCCAGATCTGTCCTAATAGCTGTCCAGCTAATAATTGACCAGGTTGTATGTAAACTTACTTGTGTCTGTCATTTTTCTCGGCATTCCTCTGCTTCTTACAGGCACTGTAGGAGCAGTACTTTTTTTCAAATTACTCGCCGCGTCTGTACTCTTTTGAAGCAGCTCTGCCCTCAGTGCAGCACTTTTTGGTTTTCTTTTTAAGGTGAAATGCTTAACCGGTGCCGGTTGCTGACCGACAACCGAGGTAAGCGCAGTCTTATTAAGGTAATGACATTCTAACGGAAGCATAGCAGGATCATTTTGTTTTTTCAAAAGTTTTCGGAGATCGTTGACCAACTCTCCAAAAATAGGTCGGTGCTCATCTAAATCAGTGATGTCTGTATTCAAAGAACCTGTTGATGGAAAGGTCTTCATCGCTTCGGATAACATCGATACCCATAGCTCGCTATCCAACGATGCCACCTCAATGATTTCTTCCAATTCAACACGCCACTGTGAAGTTCAATAGAATTACTTATCTTGTAATAATCTAATTAAATCTTCGTGAAACCATCGGCAATTGAAATTGATGAATGTAAACGTTTATATCGGCGAGAAATATTGGTTTCACGTCGAACACGATTACAGTAGTGCCCACATAAGTGACCGCAATTTTGCCCACTTAAGTGTCCGCGGTTATCCCCACCAATTTTTGAAAGCCAAGCGGCTTCGAATATCGAGCGTCTCGAGCGTAACTTGACGCCGGTCGTTATCGACACATTGTATACATGGTTTCGGGTGCCAGCTATTGTATCTCACTCGCACTTATCCTCTTTCCTTATCTCCGTTGAATTCTGAGAAGTAATCATGCCCACTTAAACGACCGCGGCCGGTCACGAACGCGGACACTTAAGTGGGCACTACTGTATTTACTAAACATTCCAAAAACATCAAACATCTAAATAAAGTTAAGTGGCGGGTCTACGATTTGTACCATATGAATGAGATACGACCCAATATCTGACACATTAAACTCGCCACTGCATATTTTACCGTTCACGTTCTTAATAAGCATTTTGTTTAAATATTCGTAAAGGACATACTATGCTTACCTCTTCGACATTCCGTCTCGGTATGTGGAAAAACGAAAGAAGTAATTTGAGTTTAACTTGCGTCTGAAGATCTGGAAAACAGTCTTTGATGTTCCGCAATACTTCTGCGTTAAGTTGTGAACAAATCGAGCTTCCAGTCCAGCTATCATTTGACGTTCCGAGCTTGTTATGAAGCCACAACGACGTATCACTGTCCCTCACATTCGCCATATTGGAGTCGTTTGTTTCTTACATTTGACGTACATTACTGTGGCGCGCCACATGTTATTCCCGCCATAAAATAACGTGACAGACGTTCATAGAACATGTAAATCATAGCGACGCAATATTGGGAAGAAATACGATCTACAACAAACTTTTTTATTTAAGTCGATTGTGAAAAACCGCTGCACGACAGTTTATTCTCTTAAGTTTTGTAACGTTAGGCATATCGAGTGCATTCGTATCGAGAAAGCATAAATGTTTTAGAACGAACCACATTAAAATCATTTTAAACCAATTCATAACGTAAATGAGAATCGACCATAACTTGAACAAAGGATTTTCCCGCGAATACAAGTAGCGTCTTTTTACCCCAACACGATTCAAGTTTGATGTTGGTTTGTTGCAACAAAGTGTTCAGTAAAGAATATTTTAAATATGACTAATACAAATGGGTTTTCAGATTCGCAAGAGTCTGCATTACTTGACGAAGAAGTATTCAATGAATTGGAGAAAGAGATGTAAGACATAGTTTTGATACAATAATCTTGTCGTCGGCACTTTAATTTTTCTCATAACGGGCATGTAAGATGTACAAGTGATATCACAAAGAATTTCAAATAATCCTTAAAGAAAGTCCGATGAGATTGATGTGATAATTGATGTGATAATATAGTATAGTTGAAATTTGTTAGTATGTTAGGATCGCGGCACCTACAAATATATATTTGCATATTTGTTTCTTTTGTCGTTTAACACAGTGGAAGTAACACATTGCCATTCTTGGCAGTCGACGTAATGGAGCCAGATATCGAAGAAAAATACAATGTAACTTTGACGCAACAATATATATATGAAAAAAGAATGAAAGATGACGATCAGGAAGAATATTATCAAGAACCAGAAACATCACCCCCCGCGAGGGAAGAATTTCCCGGGTTTTACAATTTTACTTTCTCGCTGGCTACTCAGGATTGTAAACAATTGATTGTAAGTATACCGTTAAATTAAATGTTACTCGAATAGGATAATAATTTGTACAAGAATTTACAACTGCTTAATGTAACTTGTTCTCTGTTGTGGTATATAGTATTCTCAGTTATTGAGAAAAGTGTTTATTAACATGGAGCAACCCATGCCTATACATTTTAAATGGGATCCACCAGCGGATGGTCTTTTTTTACGGACTGCCATGGTGTTCAGTTTGGATCAATATGCAAGCGACCCAGTCAAAAGATGCCATAACCATATGGCACTGAATAATTTGAGTAATCGTGATATAGATCCGAGGGTAATCAAACATGTTGTTCGTTGTATGGATCATTCTAGCATGTACGAAGAAAATAACGAGCGCTTGTCCATATTGACGCCGCTGCACACACCTCAACCTGGATCACAGTATGTTCTATTGAATTTTAAGTTTCTATGTAAAAATAGTTGTCCATCTGGTATGAATCGTAGACCTACAGAATTAGTCTTCACTTTGGAAGATGGCGAAAAGAGAGTATTGGGTCGACGTAGGCTTCTTGTTAGAATTTGTAGTTGTCCGAAAAGAGATAAAAAAAAGGAGGAAGCAGAAACAGCTGATGCACAACCTGTGGTAAAAAAGAGGAAACTCTGTTTACCGGTCGGGAAAAAAATAATGCCGTCTTTCGATACGCATGTGTTTAATATTCAACTAAATATAGTTGGAAAAGAAAATTATTTGTCAATATTGAAATATGCGTATGATATTATGGCAGGTCAAGCCACGCGAACTGGGCAATATGAATTTTTCAAACCGTACATGGATGATATATTACGTAAAACTCCATAATTGCTTGAATTTTTATGTCTTTTATAATATCTTATGTGCCTTAAAGATAAAAAAAAAACAAGTATGTTTTACTGTTATCTAATTGTATATTTTACAAATTTAACAATGCATTAACAATTACAGTAGTGCCCGCTGAAGTGTCCGCGCTCGGAACCGGCCGCGGTCGCTTAAGTGGGCACGGTTACTGCTCAGAATTCAACAGAGGTAGGGAAAGAAACCATGTATACAATGTATCGATAACGACCGACGTTAAGTTATGCTCGACACGCTCGATGTTCGAAGCCGCTTGGCTTCTAAGAATTGGTGGGAACAATCGCGAACAATTAAGTGGGCACTACTGTACATTATAGTCAATGTTAATTTTAGTACCAATTGTGCATTTTTACAAGTTATATGCATTTTATAATGCATGATATAGTACATAATTAGGGGTATGATCTTAACTTTGTGATACATTTATGTCAATGTTTATACTAACATACGATATACTTGTTAACTTTTAATTATAATCAATATTAAATAAACAGTTTTGTTACTTTTTTTACATCAGACGTATATATTTTGGTACAATCCGAGATGAAGAAAGTACGTTTTGAAAAACATTCGAATGCCGTGTACACAAACATTTTATATTTAATACCTAATTCACATTAGAGATCGGAATTTCACGTGTATCTAAAATACACATGCACACATGTAATTAATATATTTGTATTAAAATCAATATACTGTTTAATACACAGGTATCAGTGTTTTTTTAAATTAAGGTTTTATCTGTTATTTTTTAGGCGAATAAAAATTTATTCAAATAACGTTTAACATTGATGGGTACATGTATATTTCAATATTCGTGTGTTCGTGTATTAAATAATACTTATACGGATATATTAACTACATGGCGTGTGTATAGCATTAATGCGTTGTATGCTCTTTAAATTTACATTGTTTATAACTACTTCAATTTGTAAATTTCTTAAATATTTCTGAAGATCATAAATTTTTAAATAATTAAGTTTCTAAAAATTATGTATTGTTCATTTATTTATAAGTAATTTTAAGAGCAAACCCTACATTAATGACATATACACGCGATCTAAAGGAACGATGTACTTTTACTTCCCGACCTATAAGGAAGAAAAGTATTGCAATCAAGAAAAATTTTGAGAAATGCTTTTCAAACTGCCTTGCTCACGCTTAGACTATTAAAAAAAAAAATTTTTAATGTGCTCATACACATACGTATATTGGGGTGTGAATTTGAATATAAATATTCTTTGCTAATCAGATACCAAATACAAAATAGTATATTAATGCACAATAGTGTACCCAAGTATTTAATATTTAACAGCACGAATAAGTACGACACACAAGTGAATGTCGATATTGGATCACCACAAAGTACAATACATCAGATTGTTCATTGTTTGTTCTAAGAACTAAATATATATGTTCGGTATTTTAGATATACACATTTCAATTACAAAATCGTTCGAATGTACTTTATCCCTGGTCATAACCTTAACTGTTCGTGCGAACGGCATTCTAATAATTGAATATCCAATGTGTGCAATGACAGAGCATTTGGTAATGGTGCAATGTGTTGCGACGATAAAATCATCGGACTCTCAAGACTTGCAATGCTTCTTTGTATTTTTATTTCAGTACCATTTTCTCCTTGACCATGTAATTTCCATTCCCATCCATTTTTTCCTCCTGTGGTGCAAGCAATCCAAACAGTTTCCTGCTCACACTGCACATTCATAATTTACAATATAACATTTACAATAATAGATTGAGGTACCTCGTATTAACTTGAAAAAATTACCTGAAAGAAGAAAAGATCTCCACCGCAATGTAATATATAAGCAGTTTCTGGACCAAAGGGAAGTGGCCAGGGGATTTGTACACGAACGGAATAAAAATGAACTTGAGGTACTTCGTGAAACCCGCTCAAATGTTCCAACACTGTATTGGCTGTGACGATATCTTTACAACCACTTTGTTTCGAGAGGGGGCATGTTATTTGGGTACAAGATACAGAGTCCATAGAACCTCCCCAAACGGGTGTAAGGGGTACACTAGACATCAGACTAGTAGTGCTTGACATTGTTTTACTTGTTACGCCAATTTGCAAATGATCATTAATAATAGTTTCCTTCGATAATTCTCCGGTACTCGCAGACTTCGCTCGATCGTATAAGTTTAAACGTTCATCAAAATTTAAATTATTTATCGGCGTTTCGTTTACCCTCGATGTATCGTTAGAAACCGCTGTTAGATTATCCGCCGAGGCAGCTTTCTCTGCTCCGCCAAGAAACAATTTATTTAGTAACAATTGTCGCGCTTTCAGAATTGGACCGTTAGTTTTCAATGTTGACGACGTTGCCTGCTTTTTTTTGCTTTTGCCGAAAAGTCCGTCTCGGAGATTCCAAGTTTGACATCCTGCGTTATTGCACGAGTTATCTTTAACGTCAAAAACCTCACGAAATACCTTGTGTAGTTTATCTGCAAGCAAACATCGGCCCTGGCCCAGTCTGACTCTGCAAACTGGACACCGAGTTGTCTTTGGTCTGCATCCGACACAAATAATGTGACCGTGTACGCACTGAGAGACTGGAGGCATTGAACTTTCTAAACAAACTGGACATTCTAAAGTTCGCACCTATATGAACATAATGATTAATTCTAGAGAGTACAGTAAAATCTCAATTCAATGAACAGAATTCTATGGTTCTATGTCGGTATATTCCCAAGTTATTTTAAAATTGGACAGTTACTCAAAGAACTTTGTCACCTAAACCTAGCGCCTCTTTGGCAGTTTCAAAAAAAAAATTACTAAATACGAGCTATCTTTTCGATTAACAAAGTAAAAAAAAAACCCCCTTAAGAAAGATCAAATTACGCACAACTCCGGACACTGCATTCGCAAGTTTACAAGCTACGTTTGGTAGTGGTCCTTTCACAGCCAGCCCTACTTCTTTCGGTTCTTCTTCTTCATTAGTATATCTCCAAATAAATAGCTTTATATGGTATTCCTGATGGCAGTGAATTAAAGTTGCAATTTGTTTTATCTTTAATCCTATTAAATCCTTTCCATCAATAGTTATTAAACAATCGCCAGCTCTGAAATGTGAATCATTTCAGTTTGAGTGATGTTTGAATATTTAGTTCAGGATTTTATTTACTCTTACCTAAGGCCAGCTGCATCAGCAAGACTTCCGGTTTCAACGTAGCTCACCCAAGGATACGGATCCCATTTAGATTTTGTAAGATGAAATCCGCAAGATTTGCCGTGTGATTTAATTTCCTTCACATTTTCTAACGTTACGCAAATTTTTCCCGCGATTGATGATTCATTCAATGAATGTTGTTCTTCTAATAAAGGTGTCATGAAGATCTTTACACCAGCAGCTTCAGTTAGCAGTTCCGGACTAGGTGTGATAGACATAGTTTTCTTTCCGAAATTTATTTTATTTTTTTAGAGATCGTTTTATCTAATATTTCGATCATCGGATATACATTTAACATCAGCTTAAAGCACAGAACACCGTCTTCGAAAGCAAAATCAGATCATTTTTATGCCATTAATTTAAATTTTTCTATTGGCCGAATGAATGATCGTTACGTGGACCACGCGATGATCATACTGATCGAGCCTGTTCCTTAAGCAAAGTAAAAGTTTCCTGCTTGTTCACCTTCACATAATTACATGCCCTTGACACTGATTGCGTAATGAAACCGCGGTTTTGTTTCTTTTACATTATAACCAACAAGACAATATAACCAGGAAAAATAGTTTTCCACTAAGGACTAAAGATATTCATTATTGCAATGCTTATAGTATAATAATCGATCGTTTTCGGCAGTGACGACCAACAGATGCATATGGTAGTATCTTTTCTCTTTTTATTAACATGTCTACATATAATGATAGCGAGTGTTTCTTCGATGCTAATTTAATTCAAAGATATTGAAATATACATATTGTTGCAAATTCATAGTTTGTATACTTTAAATGTGAAGACATTGAAAGATCTTCAACAGAATAGGAATATTATTTTGAAATGTCCTACAAACAACGTCATAATTATTTATTTTTAGTAAGAAGGCAAAAATCTCTCCTGTATCGCTAACTTGGAAGAACATACAGTTGGATTGTCGGTAAGTGTAAAATATATTCTATAGGAAATAATCAAAATGCATTTAATATGTTAAGATAATGATAGATGAGAACATTTCTGTAAGTCTTTGAACAATGATAACAATGCTTCTAGTGAAAACTATTGATATAATATATTGAGACATTGATTTAATGTGTGTAGTGTAGTATGTGCTGTAGCTTTAAGAACTAGCAAATCGGGGTCCAAGTTTAAACAAGAGTTTTCAATTGTTTGTGCCAATGCGATATTGTGCTTTTCTACTTTCCTTAATTGTTCCTGACAATTAGCAAAGGCATCTAAAACTTCCAGCTTGGCAACTGGATTTCTATTGGAATTTGATGAATGTTCTCTTGGAGGTAGAGGGGGATGACTGCTAGCAATTGCTCTAGTATACATTTCTGTAACAGCTCGCAGTTTATCCACCCATTCCTGACGAGCTCGAGCATCTGTTGCTCTTAATTTGATCATATCACCTGCATTGTTGTATGAACATTATTAAAAACATTATACTGGTAGTTACCATTACTATATAAACATATAAACAGTAATATATTGTACCACCTGATATATTTAAATACCTGTAGCAGAATTAACAGTGAATGTATTAGAATCTTCATCGCTCGGCGCAATCACTGCACCTGCTAAATATATTGAGCATCTTGGTCTTTGATTCTTCTCAGATTCGCTAATGAAATAATGTAGTTCGCCAGTTTCTGGGCTAAGGATAAACCAACGATATTGCCAGCCTTTCATGGCATTAGTATACTTATGCAATAAACCCTCGTAAGGGTGCCGTATTTGAACGTTCATCGTTTCTTACTCGTATTGTATGGAAGCCTCGTAATATTTAAATCGGGCAGTTACAGCAATCTGTCAACTGAACTGACACATCAAGAAAGGTTAGTCAGATCGTCATAAGTTAGGTTAGAAACTATTGCAAATATTCTCTCCGACGAATAAAATCATTTTAATTCTTAGGGCAAGCCTTGTAAAGTTTCTTATCTCAACACACAAATTTAAAAGTATACACGTACTTTTTGCGTATAATTTTTGCATTACATAGTATCAATTTTCTACACGGTAACGAATTTTATAGATATTTTTTAAGAGTAAAATACGCAGAAAAGATGTCAATAATTTTTCACTCGAATAGGCTGAGAAAATATCAGTGTAAATCTTACGCGCGGTGTTTGCCGCCATGCGATTATCTCTCGTTTGATTAGACTCGTCAGTGTCAGCTACGGGTAATAAACATTTGTAAACACTAATAGTACCTTCAAATAGACACCTACCTACTTTCTATCTATATATTTAATTTTTGTAATGTATTCGTGAATGCTAATTACTAAAGTAGGGATGTGCGGGTAAACTCAAGCCGGGACACGGAAAGTTTGTGATACTCGAGTACCCGAAAATATTAATAATGTTAAGGCATTTTACGGGTTTGATATCGTTTTTATTATCAATAATATTCACATATAAAACTTACTTAGATAATATATAACTATTATTGTTTTCGTCAAATAATTATTAATAATTACAACAAAAGGAACCACAGTTCATGGAAATGAAACAAAACATCATAGTAAAACAGTCTTAAAAAAAAAACATAGTCTCATCTTTCTCAAAATATAAAAAACGTGTTTGTAAGAGATTAACTGCCTTTTCTTTTTTACAATGGAATGCAGAAGTTGCACAACGTCGATACTTTTTTTTTACTGCGACAATAAACCCTTTTCAATTAGTTTCTTCCGAATCGACGGCAATTCTACATCGTATATTTTACTTTCTTCGTCCCGTTGAATAATCTTTATTCCGATAGTGTCATTGACACTGATCAATTCTGAAATCTTATTTTGTATTTCGGGGGTATATTCATCGTTCTTATCAGTGGGTGCTAAATCTATAATCATATAATAAATTATAGTAACCAATATTCCAAGCAAAATGTCTATCACGATAAACATCATACTTACTAACGATGTTGCAAATACTAACGAGCGAACTAGTACTAATAAAATCTTTTGGCATAAGTCGTATGTTTTTATGACTAACATCCTCCGTATTTCCAAAATCAATAAAAAATATTGTACTTGTCGTAGAAGTTTTAGTACGACGATTACAAACGCCACGATACCATTCACCTTCGTAAAGAGCAAGACACAATTCATTCTCACGAGGAATATAGTAATCAGATTTCTCGCAATATTTAGTTATCTGCAATACAAATAAAACAGTATATATGCAATATTGTAAATGCGTGCGTATTGTGTGCAATATTGAAATACCGATGTAGGCATTATATCCATAATATAGGTCATTAATTCATAATCTAATGGGCACATTGCATATTGATGGCCATCATGAATGGAGTATGTTATAATAACTTGAATGACGTCGCCTACTTTTCCTAATTCAGCATTTGTTATATCGTCCGACATGTAGCACGTTGTATCTGCAACAAATTATTGCTACACTTTAATATTGATCTAAAAAATATAGCTTAACTTAAAAATGATTTTTATTTTTGGATAATTACCTTTTTCATTAGATTTCTCCCAAGTCGGTACTAGTAGTTCAGATATCGTTTTATTAATATCATCTCCGCTATGAGATTTAAGATAAACGCCATCTTTGGACGGTATGCCATCATATGTACATATCAATGGGATCTCGGTTCCTACTAATTGACTAAGATAATCACTTATTTCTTTCGTCATGGGAGTATCTTGAGGAACATCTTTTAAAACTATTTTCAACGTACAAACATGCAAATCTTTTAAATCGTCATGTAGGACTCGAAGTTTCTTCATACTGGTAACTTCTATATTTCCAAAATCAACATATATAATAGTAACTTTATCATCTGCCACTCCAGTCACATTCGCTCGGTAATAATTATCATCTATATACTGAGCTATCACCATTTCTCCAACAAGTGGTAATTCTTTCAATAATGGAGCTTTTTGGGCACATTTTGCAATATGTTGCATAAGACGATTGTAGTATTCTACTTCTTCAGTACCCAATGGCCGAACAAACAGATTAACATGATCCCGGAATGCAGTCAGGCAAACCTCGGAGCCACTTTCCAAACGATTTTCTTCTATGGGCGTTGGAATCCAAGGCTTTACATCAGCTAAAAATTGATGTTTCTTATCGTTTATAATTACTATTTCAATTCTATCTTCTTTACGCGTTATCGCTTTAAACGGTTGTCTACAACTATCAGGTTCATATTCAGGATTATTTACTCTCATTATAGCACCAAGAGCACAAATGTTTAAAAATTGTTCCGGACATGGCACGGTTTTACTGACTGGCATCACTCTGGCTTCATCTATTACGGCTATGTTTAAGAGGGGCTCGAGTGATAAGACATATCCCCTGCGCCAATTACCGTTTGAAATTTTGCCGCATATTAATTCCCCTATTTGAGGTCTGTGATTAGAATTTTCTGCGTTTTTTTCACATATCAAAGATAATTTATACAACCATTCGTGAAGCGTTTTCGGTATTAATGAAATACTGTAAGTATTATTACTCAATTTGTCACAAATGTCTACTACTCCTGTTTCTCCAACGGCCAAATCATTTATCAAATATTTCGACTTGTTGAAAGGACTTGGTATCTTATCATTAATGAGTGCTTTTGGAGAAACCGAACTTCGATTAACTTTTGCATTTGTTAGGGCAGTAAATGTGGAAGCAACTTGTTCAGTTGCTTGAACTACTTGCGTTACCGGTATATCATTATCACCCTGAACTTCGACATTTATTACTTTATTGGAATCAACAGATATCATTTTTACAAATAATGTATCCTCATATCTGAGTTCTCTATATTTTTGGCTTACTTTTTCAGATAAACGAATTTTAGCAGAAAATCTTGCAACAGTTTTGAAGTGATTAATTTCCCGAAAATCGTCTGTTTTTATATATTCATCATTCCCATAATCTATATAATGCACTGTTAAAGGATCTAAAGACAGAACTAAAGCTCTATGCCATACATCTTCATATTTAACAGCATAAATATTTCCAACTATTGGTTCTACTTTTTCTGCCTTTTCCGCATTATGTTGTAAATTTCCCATTAATTCCTCAAGATTCAAAGTGTCTTCCACCTTTTGAACCCAAAATTCATGGCCCAATTTCACAATTATTCGTACTTCAATAAATTTTGATTTCGACAAAAATGTCTGTTTTTTAAAAGCTATATCTTTTTCTATCTTTATTATATCATTATTGGCATTCAAATTTTGTTCCTTTTTAACGACACTTTGAAGCCCATCTGATTTTGTATTACCTATCGATTTATTAGAACATGAACGTGAACTGTTTGTTTCATTAATATGTTTATTATCAGTATCCAATTCATTATTGATACCAACTCCTTCAGATTTGAAATGAATTTCATTGTGGACAGAAGTAGTCGTTTTAATACATTTAGATTCATTGTCAAGTACGTAATCGTCGGAAGATTTTGCATATACATCTATTGTATCTTGGTCTGTTAAAACAGTATTTAGATTATGATTTGGCGATGTCACTATATTTTTTATCGTTTTTGGTCTGCGAAGAGGCATTTGGACAGAAGAAACGTTTCTAGGTGATCGTTCTGCAGTATTTAATTGTGACACATGCATAGAATTAACGGCGGTCACTAGTGATCTGAAAATAAAGGAAAACAACAAAGAACTTTAAGATGTATGCTAAATTCGAGATTCGCAACAATTATTAGTATTATAAGAAAATACTCACGGAACAACTTGACATTCCCTTTTATGTTGCGGCCAATCAAGTATTTGGCAAGTTTCACTACAATAGAAACTACGACATCTTTCACAGCTAAACTTTGTCATTTTCGAACATTTCTGGCATTTTCCAAATGCATTTTGTAATGAGTCTTTGCCATATTCGTATGAACCCTATTAAATCAAATTACAGTACAGTCTTCAGAACTTTATAAAAATCTCATTAACGCTATTTAATATTTTTACATACAGCTACACGCTTTTCATACACCTTACAGATCTGGGTTTCAATTTCCGGATTTACATCTGGGAGTTCATACAATGTATAACCCCGTCCAAGCGAGACGCGCCGTTTGCCATCTTGTGTAATCATTAATTGTCCCCTAATGTATTTTAAAAAATAGTTATATACAATCACTAATAAAAATATTCAAGCATCAATATCGATAAATTTTATAATATCAAAATTTACTAGTCCTTTGATTCTTTTCTGTTATTAAAACAGCCTCATATGATAAATAAAAAAAAGTTTAATCGCTCTGTGTATATTTACTTTTGACCAGTTAGTAAAACTATATTGATGACTAAAGATTTTTGTGACCAACTGTACTTATGTACAGTAGTGCCCACTTAAATGTCCGCGCTCTGGACCGGCCGCGGTCACTTAAGTGGACACTGCTGTACATACTTTGTATAAATTTTCAAACATTACCTTGTCCACAATGCATTTGCATTTCCATAAGGTCTTGTACTTTCATATGGATTAAATGTATCAGGATCAGAAGGATATGAATATAATAAATCATCTTCTTTGTGCTTTGGAAATCTTTCATATGATCCTGCTTTGGTAAATAACTCTAAGGGTCTGCCACGTCCTTTTGTTTGTGTGCTATATGAAATTACAAATCCTTTATTTAAATATAATTTTCATTTATATTATAAGTATCTATTAATCTCACTTTGTTTTTGTTATTTACTTACGAAGGTCTATCTAAAGATAGAACATCTTTTAGGTCGTAATTTTCCTGTTGCCTCACATCCACTAAAACTGGCGGTGTTACAGACTGTATTGTATTTGACTTTTTTTCTTTAGCAAACGATACTTTTAAACGCAATGGCGGTACATTATCCAAATCTCTAATACATTTCTCTGCTTCATGATATGTTCCATAGGTAACATAAGCCCAATTAGCATTTTTACGGTAAAATTTCCCAATAACTGTTCCATAGTGATTAAAGATTTGTAAAAAGCCATGCTTAAACATTAAAAATATTTTACTTACAAATTAGTATTACATTTTAGTAAGTTATATGTAAACAAATTTGTAATTTTAATAAACATAAAATGGTCTAAAATTTCGTATACGTACCTCGTTTAATTCGTCAGGTAAATTATTCACATATAAAGTGAATTCTTTGCTAGAACTACAATATATCAAAATTTATATATGTATAAAAAGATATATGAAAAATGCATGTGCTTTATTTTATGTTTGATACGGAAAAGAAAAAAAGAAAACAAATCGTTTACTTCAACAACGTGTTACTGTTTGAAAAGACATGCACGTGTTTACAACCGCAACATAAAATCACAAAAGTAATAAAGAACTGAAATCAATGATTTGTAAGAATTTCGAAATAACAAAATGATAATTGCATATAAATTAAATTGTAACGACGTTTTATATTTACCCATTGCACGAGGATGTATCTTTTGTTAATACATCCGGTTCATAAAATTCCATCGTTAATGTAATTGTTTTGTCACTGTTTAATAATGGTAAATAAACTACAGAATTTTACATAGATTTATTTCACCCTCGAACATGAAATATATATATATATATATATTAAATAGAAAATAATTCGAAATATAAATTCTATTACAAAAGTTTCAAAATGTTAAGAATGCTTTCAAAGAACTTCTTTGTTGGTGTCTAGCCGCACGAGTTCCACTACCACCCTAATCAATTTTCCCACCATTAATAAATGTTTGATTTCATAGTAGTTAGGTGACCACGTTGCCCACCAAGTCTTTGTCTTAACTCTGGAAGTACATATAGTCTAAGAAAGATTCAATTTTAGATGATGCCTATTGGCTAATTTGTGCATATGCCATACAAATTCCTTTCAGATTACAGATTCTTTAAAAACGGCGAAGTGTCGCCTCTAGATGTTATGTACTCTGTGAGTCTATGCTCTGGTGGTCAATGTGTTCATCACACTTTCGATTTGTAAGTTAGTTTCCACTGAATATTTAATACTCGTACGAAATGTTTATTTCATATTTAAATACTCGATATAAATAAACCCATATCGAATCAAAATAATACGTATATTAAAATTTTTTTACAGCGCTGAAAAAACTTTCATAAATTCGAATAATGCATTGAACACTATAGCAAATTTGTCCATATTAATTTCTACATTTTTAGTTAAATCTCAAAAACGTAATATGCTTGTATACTTTATTTGAATCTTATTCGCACTTTTTTTATAAAATTAATACGTTTGGTGCAAACGCTTAGAACGTACTATTTTAATCCACGTATCAAAAACGAGTACGGTGCAAATTAAGTCTGTATCGTCTGCATGCGACCGAAATATTTTACACGAAAATGAAATTATTCGAAGTTGCATTTAACCGTTAAATATTTCATTTACTCTCGTGAAAAAAAACAAAGTAGCGAAAATCATTTCGAATGAAAATGATCAGAATAATGTAGAAAAAAATTGAAAAAAATTTCAGAGTTTTGAAAAAGAATTATACGATTTTTATAAGTTAGGTAAATAATCGTTTCCAAGTTTCGCACGCGACAGGTTACGAAAACCAATGAGAAACGACGACAGTTGATCGCGAACCAATCAAAGCGAACGGTGTAACGGGTATAAGCGTCACCGGGTGCTGACCTTGGTGGCGCTTGGCTGCATTCACGGAAGGCGCCCGAAAACGCTTCGGAAAAAGGCATCGGGGGCAGCGCGCGTTCGTGTCGCCCATTGTTATCCTCGTCGCGTGTAATGGCTACCGCAGAGTTTGTTGACGGTACTCGGTCTGATTGTTTGCGCTACGGCCTATCCTGAGCCACGGTACGCGGCGACGTGGCCCAACCGGACGAGAATAAAATCGAGAGGAATCGTACGCCGCGAGGTACCGCCAATTTTATGCGACCGAGAAACCCGCGCTTCGTGCACCAGTCGCCGCAGCCGCCACCGCGCTTGGACGACATGATCTGCGCGGGTCAACGCTGCTCGTTGACAAGCGTGTAACAGAAAAACTGGTACCGGGACATCCACGAGGTGCGAGATATCAACGGTGTTGTGACTGCCGTGAATTTTAACGGAATATAACGTACCAAGGAAGCGCATTGAAGCTCGATAATCGATCGCCATTGATTTTCCGTCGCGACCACGGCCCAACCGACACGAGGAACTCGTTCTCGGATGTTGTATAGGACGATAGACCGAAACCAGTTACCAAGGTATTGCCTTCGTCAGGATTAAGTGTGACCAGCTGCGCGGCATTCCGCGCCGCAGTCATGGCAACTAGAAGATCATCCGTTTGGCAGCCAGACATGTAACCCGCGGCGCCCGTGTAGACTATCACATGTGAGTATCGTGTGTCTCGCGGTTACCTCTCGAGCCTCGATCCCGTCTCGTTTTCCTTCGATTTATCCCGCTGTGCGATCTACGTTGAAGTCATTCCTTTCTACCTTGATGTGGCTTTGATCAGGGGGGGATCAGAGTCGACATGCTGGGGTATGTTTTATTTCTGTTTAACGAATGCCTACTGATTGTGCAGGGTCAAAGGCAACACATCAATGGCCCTAGAATCAAATGGCAACAACGTGGTGTGGTTGAACACAACCCGTCCTGATCAAATACAACAGGTATGCACCTTGTATACCCACAACTGACATAAAGAGGAAACTAGTTTTCTCCTGCTGGTATTTGTTCGCTTTTCTTGGACGTTCGATGCGTATTAAAGTATATCACCGTACGTAGAATGTCTACCCAAACAACGCATTGTAGAATGTTATTGTTTTTGGAAGGAGTGTTATACAAGTATCGTAGTACCTAACGATAACTACCGTTCGACAGAGCCAACCGATCGAGCAGCCAGTGAAGTGTTCCATGTTTACTCAAACCGAGCAAACCAATAGTTTTACTCAGACGGAGCAGAGCAATTCGAGCTACGGCGATCAGAGACAGGTTGTTAATTATTGAAATATTCACAGAGATGGGTTCTCATGTACGTTACAAAGTACAAAACATTGAATTGTGTAAATAAACGTTTGCAGTAATTATTGTTGAAAGGGCTTCAAAATATTTTATTGTTTTCCAATTGCTCTGCAATAAACATTTGTCGTTATAGTGTTGTTTACTCTCTTTGAAGAATTATATTTACCTGTCTCTGTAGTAAAGTATATTGGATGTAACGATGCGATGAATTATTGCTTAGTATTTATTTTCAGCAGCAGGCAGCAATGTTTGACCCTCAACAAATACAGCAGCAGCAAGCTGCGCAGGGTCAACAGTCACAGCAACAGCAACAACAGCAACAGTCTCAGCAGATGTATGTTACGACAGATAAGAAGGAGGACAAATCCCAGCAGCAATCGGCTACTGCAGAGTTCCCTTTCTATTACAATGTCAACATGCTGCAAAAGGTTCAGACAAACGCAGTGAGCACAATTGGTGCAATCACTACAGATGACAAAGGTTGTTATCGTTTTGATGTGCAACCTGTTGGTTACAATACATTACTGAACCAGATGAGTATTGCGGCTGCTACCAACGCGACCTTCAAATGTGACCTGTGTGGTTTAGTCTTTGGACACATGAGCTTACTGAATCATCACAAACGGATTCACAATACAACGCCTAGTAATCTTCAACAACAACCACAGCAAGTTGTTGTGCAAACACCAACAACAGTTACTGTTGCAACTACACCAGAGAGACCATATACCTGTGATATATGCGGAGCATGCTTTGCCCTACCAGGAGAATTGAAGAGCCATAAAACAAATATGCACCAGAAACCAAAGGTGCAGATTTGCGAAGATTGTGGTAGCGAGGATCCTTGCGAACATCATCCCACTAAAATGAAAAAGAGTATGTTTTATCAGTCTTTTACTATAAAAGGGGTATTCTAAAAATTTGGGCAAACTTTAGCTTTTTTTCAAAATCATGCATGTAAATCTATCAAATTTTGTCAAAAAAAAATTATTTCAATCTTTCCTTGAATTTTACACGTGGTTTTAAACAAAATCTAGAAAGTAAAAGTATTCAGGACGCATATCTATCGTGAATTGTACAAAATGTTTTTACAAATTGCATTGTTTACCTGACGTCCGCAATCACGGTAATCAGTGCTATGTAATCTAATATGATAAGTACTGTTTTAACATGAAGCTCGAGTTCTTGAATACATATATAAAATAAGAAATATCTTTTCACACATTACGTTTTTAAAGATTATACTTTAATACTTTTTTTTATACAGAATTTAACTATTTCCTATATTAATTTTTTGTATCTACATCTACGAAAAAAATTAATTCCGCTCGCTTATTGTACATTGTGATACTTTTTAAATAGCGTATGTAAAAACTGCATGAAGGAGATGTAAATTTAAATAGAATTTTATGTTCACAGCTATCAAACCTGGTCATCATCCTGTAAAACGAAGGGGTGTTACCAGTGTTACCAAGTGTCACAAGTGTAATGGTACAGGAATAATTTTTATTGGTAAGTAAAATTTATCGCTGCCGTGCTTCACTCAGACTGAAGAAAAATGTTTGTTAACGTGATACAATACGGCGTTGTTTTAAAGTGATATGCCCTATGAGGACATAAATATTTTTCAAAAAGTTCGAAGTTTCGAGATGGTGATGAAAAACATTTTTCTTCTCGTCTCATAATCATCTTTTCCTCCTCTACTTGTATCATTTCATTACTGTCATGATCGTACATCGGGCGGTGTATGGTAGGTAAACACGACGAAAAACTAGATTCCGGAATCAGTTCCCTCGCAAAGTGTGGTGGCTGCAAGGCGACAGGCCGCATCATCATAGGAAGTAAGTCGGAAAAGTTACAGCCAAAAAGAACACGGGATTTGTATTACGTAATATATCCCATGATCATCCACCGATGATTGGGGCCGGCCGATGTTGGATTGCTAAAACCGTTTTGACAATCCAATGGGGAAGAATTAAATCCCTTTAAAATGTCATTTCATACGAAACAATAGTTACGATCGTTGAATAATATTCATTCTGCATTTTTCTCATGAACTCGTAAATTCATACAATATTTAATAAACATCAAAGTTCGCTTTTCGTACTTATAACAGGGAAATACACGTACCACATAAACTTATTACTAGTAAGCTTCTTTTAATATTGATAACGGTTTTTTTACATTTGTTTGCATGCTGTTGATCGTGAGTAGTACAAAATTTATAAGCGTTTGCTAACTTGATTTTCATTATGTTAAAAAGACTTAAATTTGTTGCGATATATTTCGTTTCCTTTTTGGTAGAACAGTCGATATCTAAATTTAAGAATTATTTGCATGGAATAAAATCTCCCCTAAGGGACAGTTTTATAAATTTGATTTATTAATCTTTAGCATTGTTTGGTATGTAACAGCTCTTTTAAATTTCAGTTCACTTAGTTCCTTTTCTATATCACGATACAGACCTTGAAGAGATCATTTTAGTATTTTCAACATAGCTTAATCATTTAAATGACAATACAAAACTAACCAGTTGGTAACATTTGATTCCATACCTCATTTTTACCTTCCGTACTAATATTCGTAACCCGCATGTTCAGACTTCTACATAAATGTATTCACCTTTACTGAGAAAAACTAATTATATATCGCAAAACGGTTACTCAACTGCATAGAATTTTTTCGGATGTGTTGGGAAGGAAAACTCTTTCAAAGAACCATACACAATCCAGTGGCACACGTCTAAAATATTCAACGGATCATCTCAGAGCACATTCTTTTGTAGAACTGGCCCTTTGAGGAAAACTAAGAATTTGGATGTATCTTTAATTACAGGTGGCAAACAGAACAGTCAAAATCAGGCAGAGAAACCGTTTCATTGTAATGTGTGCGATGGAACATTCTCCCGATATTCGTCACTGTGGTCCCATAAGAGACTTCATTCTGGGGACAAACCTTTCAAGTGTGATATTTGTGGCTTAGCTTTTGCAAAAGGTGATTAAATACAAGAAAAAAAAAAAAAATTGATTTTCGGTAACTTATAAAAATGCATCACACACGCTTAAAATATTCATTTTTATCGTTGCAGCTGCTTATCTGAAAAATCATGGACGAGTGCATACTGGTGAAAAACCATTCAAATGCAGTGTTTGTGGTATGCAGTTCTCGCAAAGTCCTCATTTAAAGAATCACGAAAGAATTCATTCTGGTGAACGCCCCTATCAGTGTGAAGTGTGTGAAAAAACATTTGCCAGACATTCGACCCTTTGGAATCACAGAAGAATTCATACCGGTGAAAAACCTTACAAATGTAGTATATGTGGTTCGGCCTTTAATCAAGCTACACATCTGAAAAATCACGCGAAGGTCCATACTGGTGAAAAGCCACACAGGTAATTACGATTTCCTCCGTATCTAGTGTTTTAATTTTTTTTCTTTCTTTTTTTCTTTACTGATATTTTAATATAATCCCAATATTATTGTACCTGTTTTTTTATGTCTATAGTCTGTATGGACTAGTGCTGTGCGTGATCGCAACAAAATGAAACGATCTCGTAAAACGTCTTAGACACGATTAATCGTTTAAACGTCCATTTATATTGTCGATAAACTGTGCAAAACGACTGGATGGTCGGAGCACATATCGATAGTGTTTTATCATTATTTATAATTATTTATTAATACATACATACAAAACTCAATGGCCCAATTATGGTTTACATATAATAATATTGTTCAACGCAGATTTTGTTTTGCAATATCCGCTGTGATCGTTACAGAGTTTGCCGTCCCAAATACGAATCTCTTAATACATTTTATATAACCGAATTAAATCCTACATAGAAAAGTTTGACATTTATATCTTCAAAATGAAGGCTCATTCAATGAAAGTCTTTTAGGGTTCGCGTAATGATTTTCACGTCCGTATCATGATCACATTTATAATCACGATATGTCCTCCCTTGATACCGTGTAACATTTATTGAAAATATTTTTTTCGTAAATATTAGAAATTAATTATTGGAAACAAATTTTTTTTTTTAGTTGAAATGGAATAATTTGACCTTCTCTTTTAGATGTGATATATGTGAGATCGGATTCTCCGATCGTTTCGCATTAAAGCGTCATCGTGCAATTCACGAAAAGTACGGTCAAACAGCACGGAATCAGAACACGAACAATGCAAATAACGCACAGCAACCGAACGCGAGCAATCAGCAGCAACAGCAGCAGCAGCAGCCCCAACAAGCGCAGCAAGGTCAACAGGTTGTCGTGGTGAATACCACAACTCCCGTTACCGTCAGCCAAGGTCAAGGGCAAGCGGTAATGCTCGAAGAAGTCTACAAGTGTCAGGTGACCTTCCCAGAGCCTAAATGATTCAGCTAGAGAGTACCTTTCAGGAGCTGGTAAAGGGGTTAATTTTTTAACCTTTTTAAAAAAAATAGAGCGAGAGAGAGAGAGGGAGAAAACAACAACAAATAGTAATTAACATTGAGAACACGGTACACAACGCGTGCGTGCGAGAATGTAAAGACGTGGTACAACAATTTCGAGACAAGTTTCCAGGAGCGGCTGTTTGCACGCTATTCGTGCGGAGATTTAGGTTCTGGTGGGTGGATATGGTTTTGGTGTGGACGCAGTCGGGGTATACGTGAACGAAATTGAAACGCATGAGAAAGGGTATAAGAAGAGAGAGAGACTTAGCAATATTTTGCGTGAGCGAGTAATTTCCAGGTGACTCGGAAGAGTACGGGGCTCGTTGAAAATCGAGAAAATCATTTTGTGAATGGAGTTACGAAACGGCATTGGAAAAAGGGAAAGGATGAGTGAGATGTTCGTTTTATATTTTCTCATTCGAAGATAGACGCGTTACTTAGAGAGAGAGAGAGAGAAAAAAGAACCATCGACCCCGGATTGAATAATAAATCTCGTTTGTTCGAACGATAATTGGTAGTTTTTTTTTAATTGATTTACGAATCAATTTAACATATTTAGTTTTCGTTTTGCTTTCTTGTGTTTTATGGGCAGATCGTTTCGCATGATATTAACCCTGGAAAGACTAGATCGTGGGAAGCATGCCAAGTCCACCAGTCGAAGAATCTTACAAATATGCTATTTCTCTCGTGCAAAATATTTATTTGTCATCTTCTTTTATGTTCTACTACGAAGAATCCAAATGATACAGGTTGAAATGTTTAAAATATATTCATATTTAATTCTCTGGTACATAATGTTCTCGATCGGGGTTCCAATAAAGACAATCCTAATAAATTTATTATTTAGTTCGAGTATTAATTAATACTTGGACGTTTAAATAATCAAAAAGTAATAATTTTGATAAATTAAAACTTATGCAACAAAGAGTTAAACTGATGCTTCTTTCAGACTATATTATGTTTTTCATTGAATTTTTGGTAATAGTTTTAAAAACTACAAAAAAATCAAAATTAATCAAATCGATTAAGAATCATTGCCTCAATATGACGGCTCGTAGCTCAGTCTTTCTAGAGTTAATGGAAACGAAAACAAAGAATTGCACTTATAGATTTATTGTCGAGGTTTCATCATTTACTCGAACAATAACGTGCGATAGATCGAAGTAAATCTTTGGCTAGGCAGGAAGCGCAGTAACCCTAACGCTCTAATACATGGCAAAATTACGCATAGCAAATGCACATTTTACTAACGGCGTGGCGAATGTTTTTGAGCGAATCTGAAATACACGCGGCAACATAAGGAGATCAACAAATCCGTTCCTATACGTCTGAACCTCGGCCCTTTCTCAATTAATTTAAGTAGAAAAACAATAATACAAAAATAATCAATATTAATTTATGTTATTTTTATTGTCTCTTACTTTTGCTAATTGGAATTTAATAACTGGATAAAGAACAAAGAAAGGAAAAAATTGTAGATGATTTAATCGTTAAGAAAAGAAGCACCATCTATATGCGCGTTCTCTACGTTCAAACGGAAGTCGTGGTGCGAAACGATATCGCGATTTGAGCGAGCCCTCTTCCGTCCAGTCATTTGGGATCAGAATAAAAAAAATTGCGTTTATTGCAACAACAACGACCATGATATAGATTCAGGGATGGGCAAAATGTATCGCAAATATATTCGAACGACGAACACCTTACTAATTTGTATTCTGTTTGTAGTCGAACGCTTGAAAGTATTTGTATACGTTGTGTTCGGTAGCTATTAAACTACTGAATATACTTTTATTCATGTTCATCGTCGAATGTAAAATACACAGGTACTTTATAATTGGTGGGTCAGTGAATATTTATAATTTCATTACATATTTTTGAAGGATTGATAAACAAAATTCATACATTTCTAAATCGTTTATAAGTAAATAATTAAATTATTAAATTTCTAAACAATGTTCAGAGTATTTAAAGTACTAAATACTTTATTAATATTATATACATACAATTAGAAACAACGATGTATTTTTTATTCATCGGTGAAAGTGAATATAAGTGTTCGTTACTTAGATAACGTATAAAAAATTATACATCCGGTATTTGATGATTTAATTTATCAGTGAAAATAATTTTTTCGTTAATTATTAGTGAACATTTATTTTATTGTCTGAAAAAATAGCCACCCCCTTAATTTGTGCCTGCAAGCAAGTTATAAGAGTATTTAATATTCGACAGCATGAACGAATACAAACTACAAGCGAGTATCGATGTTTGATCAGCAGAGAATACATGTATTAAGTTGTCTATCACTTGTACTAAGCCATGAATACATATATTCGATATTTTAGATGTATTTCAATTACAAAATTATTCAAACTGTGCCCGTCCCTGTATAGAAGGACATTTAAAAAATAAATAAATAAATAAATAAAAAGAAAAAAAAGAAAAAAAAGAAATTGACGACAGGAACGACGCCCCACGATGAAGATTTATATCTCACCGGAGCTGCAATAATTAATAGTGAATATCGACGAGCAGACTAATCTGTTTTATAATTTTAAGGCCGTGAACTATATTGAATATCAGTTAACTAAATAGTTGCTAGTTTGTAAACGGCAGTTAGCTAATTAGATTATCTATACATATACATACAATTAATTTTTATATCCCCACTTGTTAGGAAGCGACTGCGCGCGCTGTCGCTGAAACTACTTCGAATAATGATGTGAATCAGAGATATCTATTCGGTTATAATAAGAAGAAAAGTATCAATGGTCCCACAGCCCCGACTGGTCGGTAAGCTGTGGGTGTCGACGATACGGTCATGATGCACTCACACCATTTGAGGAGAAAGAATCGCTGTTCCTCGAATATCATAGTCGTCTAACGTTGTTTTCCGCGATCAGGCATTTTGTTCCATCTTTGACCTTCGTTTGTTTTATTTCTAATTGAAACTTTGATGGTAAACAATAGCTTTTCGAAATTTGTCGGAAAGTGTTATCGTTAAATCCGCGAGTAAAATAGATTTCATCTTATTGACTTGCCAAACGATGTTTTTGTACGAGAGGAAAGTAAAAAAAAAAAAGAGAAACAAATAAATCAATGTTAACAATAAACTAATCTTAAACCGGGGGAGGGCCGACGATGACTCGGTGATGTCCCAAATCTCTTTTATACAGTGTACAAACTGGCTATTAATCACGAAGTATTACGAAGCAGAACGTTTATCTAAACAGATGTGATCGAACCTTGCAGCATCGATCGTTTAAATCGGTTCTCGAGGTTTATTACGCGAAGAGTCTAGAATTTTTCTTTTGGGGGTTTTCTTTGTTTTTATCGATATAACTTGTAAAAATAAAGATATGCTAATTACGTTTAATTTACTTTTAATGTGGTCATAATACCTGCTACAGTATTTCTCGATTAGATTAGATATTTCTTTCGATGTTTAATCTGGTTTTCGTTCGCGTGCCCGAGCCTCGTGCTTGGGCGGCGTGTCGAAGCGACGAACAGCATAAAAACTAGTTCCGTTTTTTTCTCTTTTCCAAGACTGAGTGGCGCTTGTCTCAGCTTGCCAGTGCAATTGTTTCAATTACGATCAGGGATGGGCAGCATGTATTTCAAAAGTTTATTTGATTTACGAATATCGCGTGAATTTAGATTTTATTTGTAGCTGAACGCTTGAATGTATTTGTGTATGCCGTATTCGGTGGTTGGGCGACTACAGAATACACAGATATCTTGTATGCGCAAAATACTTCATTCGATTTCAGTATTCGATACATTTTAACTGATTGACTGCTACCTAAATACTTTTAAATTTTGTTATAAATGTTCTTGACTTTAGGAGTAATACAACTATTCGATATTTCTATTTGTTACACTATAATTTGAAAAAATGTCAAAGTTATCCCTAGACAGTGAAAACTGATGTGTGACAGTCAACATGTTAATTTGAGTAACGAATAACGAATATGTAAGCCACGAATAAATTTTTATAAGCATTGTAAAATGTAAGTCATGGTCGTGTGTATATTGTATTAGCGTGATATTTGCTCTTTAAATTTTTCTATAAATAAATTACTTAAATGATTTAATTATGTATTCATTGTTTGTACAAAACTTATATATAAGTCATTATAAATTTTGTTACACATTCTGAATCAATTCTGCATACACTTATAAGTGTATCAGTTTTGCTGTTTATTAAAATTTAAGGAGCTTTTAGAATGCATTAAATACATTTCTGTAAACAGAAATTCATGGAACCCTATATACAATTCATATATTTGTTTATTTAGGAGTATATAAATGTTTGTAAAAAACGGTAAATTAATCAAAGACTTATACAAAATTCAAACATTTATAAATCGTTTATAAATAAATAACGAAATTTGTATATTTCTACAAAGTTGTTATATTTATAAATTTATAAATTGTTTATAAATAAATGAATTCGTAAATTGCCAAACTATTTCCAAGATATTTATGTTCTTTAAACATTTATAAATATTCTATATTATTTCAAATTCATTTGTTTATAAAAAATATGAAGTGCAAAACGCAATAATACTATATACACAATCTGAAACAACGATATATCTTTTATTGATCGGTGAACTGAAAACTGAATATGTATAAGTATTTCTTCCCAATCAGATACCAAATACAAAATGGTGTATCGGTGTTCGACAATACAGCGAAAACAAATTACGAGAATATTCAATATTCGAAAGCACAAATGACCACAAAATACAATGTTCTAACGCTAAATACATATATTCGGTATTTTCTATTTATTTAAATTGCAAAATCATTGAAATGTGCCCATCCTTGATTACGACACACGACGAATGTAACATGGTAGTCAATGAAGAACACTAACGCTTGAATCTTGCATTGTTTTTTATCGTATTTTTGTTTCCAGCCACTTTAGTCCGTACAATTTTGACGTAGCAACATGTATAGCAGGCACTCGGTAGGTCAGGGTGTCTGATACACGATATCGCCTCTCTTATTTCGCTTAACGGCACTTTTGAAGAAGCAGTGTTTGTAAATATTACTAATTATACGATGTCCCCAGGTCGAAGAGGAGGGCTCTGACCGTTACGTTTTACGAAGCGACTCACTTTCGTTCGATTAACCGAGTGAAAGCATGAAAACATAGTTCTTAATCCGTTGGACACCGATGAATCGCATTTACCACACACTTCGTCGTAAAAATCCAAAAAATTGCGCTAGCTTACATGCCGTCAAAATAATTAGAGGATCGCCTGATTCGGAGGAGACTTCAACGCCCAGTAAGGTATCCAACTTTAAAGGCCCCGTATACGATAGAAATATTATTAAAATACAACAAACTTTTCCAGCATGCTTGGCGGGTCGTTCTGAACCGAAAAGGTCGTACACACTATGGATCTATTTCCATCTGTTATCGAGCTGTGTCAGAAATCAGATACACGTATTTACAATGACACGACAATCTTCTTGTTTTATCTATGTTTTGCTTTTACAGGAAATCTAAAGAATATTGCTCAAATTGGCGGCCTTCCATCTGCAAATATAGCCCTCTGTTCCATTGTTGCAATGAACCACCGCAATTGTGATGTGCGATTCTTGATGTCTGTTGCACCAGCCTGATGCACCATAGCTGTTAATCTACGACTATTGTCGGAACGAAATCAACTTGCCGCTCAAGGCCACCGAGGAGCTCTCCTCACCACACTGGTTTGATTACCCCTCTTTTCATTTCGTTACATAAATCGTGATTGATAGACAGGAAGAGTATATTTGCAGACCAACGTTGGGCAAAATGTATTAATAGAAAGAAATGTTTCAGTTATTTATTATTTTGTGCCCCCTTGGTTTGTAAGGCGATTTCCTCCCGCTAAAAGTTGCATCCCCCCACTTTGGAAAACACTCAGCATTTTGTACTTTTATTGCTCGATTGAAAAAGGTACAGTACTGTCTCTTTTCTTGCGATCAAACTCGAAACTGGTCAAACCTAAACGGGCCGTTCGAAGAGGATGTGATGGGATACAAACACCGGGCCAGCAGGGTTTTAATTAGCACAGCTTCCGGTTACTCGAGTTGAAGAAACGGTAAACATTAGTGTAGGTGATTCCGTCGCAAGTATCCCTAACGTAGATTGATACAGTGAAGCGAGGCAGTACTGTGATCAAATAAATAAATAATTAATTGTTGCCCAACTATGCTGCAAACGTTTTCTGTTTCTCAAACATGAAGGTAAGTTAAAAATGGGAGTTCGACGCGATTCGCGAAAGAGGAAGTGGCTTTGAGTGGCTAATTAAATTTGATTCGACTATAGTCGCAACGCAGAAGTAAGACTGAGCGCCGTAGATCATCGACCAACGCTCATCTCAATAACGGATGGAAGTAAATTCGTATTGTACCATTGATCTCTATTCAGAATGACTTGCTAAACGCACCGAGAGTTCTCTATACTTTGTTAATCTCTATTTAAGATCATAGAATTCTTTCGTATTGGAGATCCAGTTCCGTTATTTCAGAATTCTCCGGAAACGTAATTTTCTAATTATTTTGAGCGGCATAATTTCTACGAAAACTTACATTGTCGTCACTTTTATACCAGAAACCATCGAGCCCTTTTTTTCGTGAATAAGAGAATGAGAGAATGAAAATATGAGAAAATGAGAGAATGAGAGCGAAACGCACTTTTATATATTGTACCTACGTTAAGAGACCTGCCAATGAGAGGTCGATGGGGATTGTAAGTACGAAGTACTAGGTAAATAAGTAATTTTAGGAATTGCGTCGTGAAAATTGTCGAAGGAGGCACGAGACCGTTTGCGAAACAATACCAGTAATTATCATGACGTTAAAAAAAATAGTGATTCATTGTTTATATAAATCGTATCACTTTTTTCCCAAAAAAATATCCTAAAGTTGAGTACGGTCATGGAATTTATTACAGATTTTTCCAATGGCAAAGCAATCGATCTTTGAGGGTATAGATTTATTTTGTTCGCGATCACGTGACTCCTTACAATTTTACCACGCACTTAGTTAATATACTGCGGACGAAACAAAACAATTCGGAGCTTCCATTTTAATCAAAACGCCTGGAAGCGTCTTCCTGAGCCTCAAGGGGAACATAATATGTCCTAACTTACCCGATTTATCAAAACTTCAGTTGTACATAAGCTCACACGAATTGTGATCGTCGAAAGAAAAGAAAAGATTTATTTTCCTGCGTCACATCTTTCTTTGGTTCTCCAGAGTTTGAGGGTCGAGGTTTCAGGGTCATTACGCAGCTCAAATCCCCTGTAATTACACGCAGAACTTCGAAATGCTGGAAAAAAAAACTGTCTGCACGAATTTCCGGCCGGAAATATTTAGTGCTCTTAAAACGTTCGACCCTTTTAATCGCATTGATTTCAGAAGGACTGACGGCTTAACGATTTGTGCACGCCATTCTCGTTAATTAATCTTTATCTGGATTCATTGGTCTTCCCTCGAACGACACCTTCCGAATTTGGCTCTTCTTGCGCTAATATTTTAATAATAAATTCAATATAAAGACAGCGTACGCTAGCTGAAATATTTGACGAATGAATTGTCCAGGTAAGGATTAATCTGGATGTGTCGGGGCGAATTAATACGTAAACTTTGTATAAGTAATGTATAAGTCTAAAAAAAAAGTGTACAGGTTTCTCGTCCGTGCTCGAAGAAAGATGATTTTTTGTACAAACTTTCCTCGTCGCCGCAGACTCGTTCCATTCGCGACGAAAGTGAAATCGAGTTTTCGTTGCTTTCGATTCTGTTTCTTTTTCTTTTGATAACGATGTTCATCGTCTAGCCAAACACAGAGAAAGAGACGTAAGAACGAAACGAGGTGGGGAAAAAATGAGTATACACATGGTATACGGTAAAACACGAAGTACCGCAAATATTTAGAAACATATTCGTAATTAAAGGCGTAGAGAAGGAAACCCATGAATAGACCTTAGACATAGCGTGCAATTTTACGGAGTTTCTTAATTAAAACGAAGAAGGAAGCTAATGGAGGAGAGAGAAAAAATGGGAAAAATATGCAGTCCTATCGTGACGATATAGATTAATTTTTACATGATACACGTTGTATGGGCAATAATTGCTGATCATACGAATTTTTGATAATAAAAAACACGTTCCTATTAAATTATCTGTTCATTGTCGTATTGTTAAGTCTTCAAAGCGATTAGAAAGACGGTATCTTTGAAATAGACGGGATAGAAGGAGTAAACTTGCTTTCTTTCTTACGAACGAGATGTAAGGAAAGAGTCGAATGGCCTCTTTGTAAGATAAGCAGAAACCGAGACATCCTACTTTGTGGAAAGTAAGAAGAAGAAGAAGGAGAAAAGAACGAAATGACGTAAAGTCTCGTAATTTTCTATCATGACGACAAAATGGGGATAAAAAAAAAAAATAAGAGAAACATTGGTAAATGCGAATAACGACGTGAGACTGTATATTTAACGTAATTTATTTTCAGGGTATCTATCGAGATATTTTTTCATTTGCCATTGTAAAAATTTTTGGAAATCTACGCACTTTCTATAAGCTACTGTAGGATTGTAAAGTTATACATAAAAAAGAAAATGAAATTGTAAGATGAAGACGAAGAGAGAAGAATAATCATTATTTACGTCCTTTCGCAGAGGACCTCGGATCGTCGGTATTCTCATCGTTAAAGCCATAACAGTACCGTAAATGTTGGCCCACAAATGTTATAAATGATTGGTGATCTCGCGATATGCTCGTCGGTTGCCACGGGAGAATACCGAGGACAATTTTACGGAGGATGTAGTTAAACGAAAACAAAAAAAAGAGACGATTACTTTTATCATGTAACACGCTACCAGACGAAGAGAATGTATTTCGCGATGCGTTCTTTTAAAACTTAAGTTTCAATCTTCCGTTTTCCTTTGGCTTCAACTTCCGCGAGGTTTTTAATTGAATTAAATTGAAAACAAGAGTGAAAAGAAAGTTTAAAAAATGTTTCAGTTCTGAACAATGTTGCTGGCAGAGAGAGAAAGAGGATTATTTGCAAAACGGAGCTAAAATAGTGACGAATAGCGCGCGGTGGTGAAGCCACTGTGAAGAAACTTATATGCGTGTATACACACCGTTTTGTATGAAGGAACAGTCGTAAAAAAGAAAAGATTGTCACTTTAGATTAGTCTGCTGTCAATATAACTAGAATTATAATTTTGAATGTAACATGTATCATATTGATTATTGCCTAGATAAGAAAACCGTACCGATTAAAAGTTAGCGCACGATTATATCAGACATTAGGTATAATAATAAATGATGTCCACTGGACATTTTCATTTTTGAAGACTCACGTGAATTTTATTTAGTATACACGTGCATATGCGGGATTGGGGCGCCTAAATTGTGACAGCAAATATTCTAATTTTAATAGTTTCAATAGCAACTACGATTTTGTTATGTTTAAATCATTTAAATAGTCATTTTTGTAGGTCGATATTGCATCTGTTGTTTTTCCCGTCCAAGTTAGTTATATTTCTACTTATGTTTATTTTTAATGTTTAAATTTGTTTCCAAGAAAATTCATTATAGTAAAATTTCATATTTACAGAATAGTAAAAGTTCGATCGAAGAACCTTGACGCTCGTTACGAAATAAGAAAGAAGATTTTGAAAATTCGCGGGCGATGGCGCGCATGCACAAACAGTTCGATGAACGCCGTGACTCTAATCGACGGTATTACGCGGCGGTGAGTGAACGTAATCGCACCCGTTCCATGCAGGAACAAATATGGCGCCGTGGAGAATATTAAACTGTGTTTAGTTCCTGAATACGTAAAGTTTTTTGGATTTTAACGGTTTCCAAATTTCCGTCGCGAACCGACATCACGTGCAAACGCTTGTAAGGATGTTACCTGACTACGGTTAAATTTTGGCCAGGAATTTCACGCTAAGGTAAGCCAATTAAAAAGATAACATTTCTTTTGCGATATCATACTATGTTTTGGAGAATCGAGTGTACGGAATTTAGAAGAGTGACAACTAAATTGATTCGACTAGCTTTATGTATGAATTTGATTTCTTCTTTGTCCGTTAAAGTACTAGATTAAAGTATCACAATGACAGGTTGTAATTGTTTAGAACACATCGAAATTGTCTAACGACTCATAATCTTGTATCGGAATTATATAGGGAAATATTAATGAAATTATTTTACGTTTATCCTTGATAAATCGAATAAACCGGCACAATGATTTTCGGTTGATCGAAAACTGTAAACACGCGTAAATCAAATACGCTGTACTTTTTACTTGAATCAAATCGTAATACATTTGTAAGATAGAATATTATTTTAGTTTATTCCGGTGACCTTTTAGGTTAACTTGACAAAACACGAAATAGAAAGTTACGGATAGAAGAATGGAAGTGTTGTTTATATTTTATAAAGTTGTTCCACGAGAAAAGAAACATCTTTTGTAATGACATTTTGGATTTAATTTCAATTTGGACGTTTAAACGAATTTTGAAAGATTTATAAAAATTGTTGTGTTTGTATACATCTGTATTGGGTCGAGACAACTGCACAAAATACATATTGCCATTTTACGGCTACGATATGTTGCAAAAGGAAAATGATTTTTTTTTTTATAATTTATATAATGTATCGTATATTTCATATATTATTTCATAGACTTAATGACTACTTACATATTGCTTACAGTACAAGACGTAAATATCGACACAGTACGCAATTACGTATATCAACATTTATAACTGCTAAAAAATTGTTTGCACTACTAGTTTTTTTATATGTATCTTTATTTAGAATATCTTACTTTTAATTACTGTACAAATGGGTAAACTACGTTTTGACTCTGATTTGACGGCTGCACTTGAACAATGTTAGGCGGAATATGATTATTCTTGTATATGCGATAGCAGGTCCGTAGCAGTAGGAAGTAGACGATTTCCACCAGTGACAGAAAACTAAAGCCCATGAAGAGTCCCAGTAAGCCACCCGTACTTGCTGTACATAACAAAATTGCATTATCAGATCTTCGAAACTATCGTGACGCGGGCACCTTCCGGTTGAAGGTGTTGGAAGCTTCTAAACGTTAGTCGCGTTATTTTGGAAAATAATTTCGTTGTTTCGCGAATATAACGATAATTATCGAGGTACGAAGATCTTGATCGTTCAAGATCAGGGCCGTGGCCGATCCCGAGCTTGGTCATTTATATGGGCACTACTGTATATGTATATGTATTCGGTGGCCTTGAGCAGCCAATACTTTATGCTCCGAGGATAGTTGCATCGAGTGTTTGAAAACGTACCCGTAAAAAACAAAACAAAGACCGATTAAATTACTGAAATAGTAAGTACCCAAGCTCGAGCCAAGTACATTTAATATTCAAACAGGAGCTCCTTTGACGTACTTACAGAGAAATTCCGTGAATCCAAATAGTTCGTTCTTCACGTATTTTGTGAACTGAGACTCGACAAAAAACAAATGAACCACCGCCATATTTTCGCTATTGAACAAACAGAATTTCAAGCGTAATTAGATTTGTGCTTAACATTCTCAATGTATATCAGGTGAGCCGCTTAAAACTAATCATCCGTATAACAAGTTTATTTTTAAAGATAGAAAAGAATATTTGATTTCATGGAGAAAATAGTATTGTGATGTTTCAGTTTCAGATCGAAGCACCCGATATTTCAAGGTCTTCAATTTTACCTACAGTTTAAGGCCATTCAGGATTGCTAAAGGACAATTGCGAAGGCAAATATTTAATATCAAAAGATAAATAACAATTCAATCACTAATACACGCTTCATTTTTGTTTCGACCAATCAAATGATTATTAAACTTTCTATTCTTCTCTAATTTAAAAAAATGAACTCTGTACGGAAAACAATATTACGTGAAATATTTTTTGCTCTTCTTTATGTAGTTCTCAGCAATATTGAAGTTTGGAACTAATTTGCTCTGCGAAATCTCAACGTTGTAATTGATCTCGAAGCATCCGGGGTAACAGTTGCAGCTGGGTCTGTAATATAATATTTTCAACTTTAAGATATGAACGTTAATTAACGATTTACGATCACGATTACCGTATAAATTACTTTCAAACCATGATCGTAAATTGTTCGGAATATGTACATTGCGTTCCGCTTTTCAGAGGATGAAGCGTGTGACTCACGTTTCGGAAACGTTTATGGAAGTTATGCCGCTGTCGTCATCGTAAAGTTTTAGTTCCATTGCTCTTCGTGCGTCCGTCGCGCATGCATCATCTTTCTTCTCGCAGATCGGCGTGTTCGAAGACTCTGCGATCGAATAGTAAATATCGCTGTACTATCAAGATGATAGTCTTCGCGTTCAAAATAAATAACCGTTACGTACAAAACGTCCAAGAACTAAATTCTATCGAAAACTTCGATCATCCAGGGGTAAAAAAAAAAAATGTGTTCGCTTCGTTTATCCATAGCTTTACATCTAACAGTAATTATCAAAGCAGACGGTATAACTCTTAGACAGAGTCGGGCAAAATGTACTTTTAATTATCGCATTTTAAAGTCGATTTTCGGTATTTTCTGGACAGATTTAGTACGGTTGTTTCTGACGTTGAAAATTACTCGGCATGTAGTATTGGACGCAGTGGCAAATCTTTTGGGTGAAGTTCGCCTCGCATTCCAAAACGCAGTTCTTTTGTGTGTAGGTCCTGTAATACCGTAACTTTCTCTCTGACGTGAAGAAACACTTCCTCTTCCTCTGGGGAACGGATATTATCGACTTGCTGGCGGTCGATAACCGGGGTGATACGATTACTCTAGTCTCCTCACCCGGCGTCACAGTGAACGCAAATTCAGCTATTTTAGGGGTCTCCACTGGGTTGTGAAGCAGCATCTGTGAAAACACTTCCATTGTGTCGCAAAATTCCGTCATATCTTGATCCTTTCGTGTTTACATCCATTATACTTAAATGCAAGATCTTGGCTTAATAGGTACTGATCATTTTTCTTTTTCCTTCGTTCTCGACGGAGCATATTATACGATAGAGAATTAAACTTATAGAAGCAATTATACCTTGAAACCCACGCTAGCAGTGGATGAACAATAATATTCTGGAATGTCTGCGTCGAGGACCAAAGTCAAACCGTAGAATTGTCCAGCGCCGTACGGTCTCCATGGTATAGTATCGGCGACCACATTTTCATCGTAGCCAGTTTCAGGGTTCCAATCGGTGCTATTGTATGGGAACGTGATGTTGAGGTCTGACCAATCTCGTCTGGAATTTAAACCAGGATAAATGCGAAGATAAAGTTGAAAGTTATTTCTGGATTTGTAAGCGGTCTGTCCCTTCATTGAACAATTTTTGTTTAACTTTAATGTCTGAAAATGATTGTTGGTTTCAGCTTGATCGCGTACAGAATTAAATATCGAAAATGGCAGAAAAAGATATTTATAAATTTGGAATATCAGTTCCATTTTTCCGGCTTCCGTCAATTCTCTTGTCCATCGAGGCAGAAAATATTGGCTGCTCAAGGACACTCGAACGGCTATCCTCGTCATATTGTCTGGCTAAGCGCCAACTCATCTCTTCTCTCCTTGCTCTACACTCTCGTTATATTTGAAGGGCATAGGCACTTTCTGTTTTACATTGTATAGAGCCACATTAAGCAACTTAACCCGCGATAATGTGGAACAGTAGCTTCCTTTAAATTGCACAATGTTTAATGCATTTAAATTCTATATCGAATACAATGGTAACATTATAAAATATAAAAAATTTTATATATTATATTTTCTATCTCGAGTATACCGTTTCGAATTGTCTGTCGCCCATGGGTATACTATTTTTGCCAACTTTCGTAAGAAATTACTCACGGATTGTAAAACAGGTATTTTCGATGAACGGAATTGAAGTTGCAACATATTCCCTCGTCGGTCATGGTGGGATTGAAAATCTTCTCGCAGTCGGTTATGTTTCCATGCCACTGGCACAAATGCAACATCTCCGAGCAGGATTGCGAAACCTGTGTTATTCCATTGGAATATACTTAGTCGATTCGTTGTGTCGTGCAAAGATATTAATTTAATTTCATAGTGACGCGTGTAACAAGAAAGCGTGCAATTTAATACGTGGAAACAGAAATAACGATACAGATCTTGCTTATCGTAACATAAAAGAAAGAGCGTTAAGATGTGTACGGGATACTTTATGCCCGCAACAGAGAGCACACAAGGCAGTACATTCGATGATCAGGATAAACCCATACGGCGCAAAGTGTATCGTAATATGTTACGTACATTGATCATAAAATGCAGCATGCTGTGCCATGATATCGCGTTCTCGTCGAAATTAAAGGCCGTTAAATTCGTTTCAAAGTTGCATCTGTCTTCCAGTAACAGCTTTTCACGCATATCGTTCCTGGCGTTAAAATGCTCGTTTTAATCGTGGTTTTTCCTCGTCTTTTCGTTCACCGTTAATCGATTGTTAATTACCTTATTGTAAACAGGGCTTGAAAACTGTTGTAATATAGAATTTTTGTTCTCGAAACAATAATTTTCGGAACCTTTTCAAGCTCTGTTAAGCGTATTGTTGTTTTATGAATTGCTCACCCAGCGTTTATGCGTACGGCTTCGCTGTTCTTCGCGTTGTTCATGTTGCAAATGGTGACCGAGGGAAACGGGAATTCATTTAAAGACACCGATTCGGGACTCAGGGAGATTATGATAGGCGTCGAGACCCACTTCTGGTACAGATACCAAATGTAATAACTTGCGGTTAACACGGCTAGCGTGAACGATATTATCCAGAAGATTCTGGAGAAAAGAAATATTCAAAGTTAAAAGCGTTACGAGATCGATCGTTATTTAAAGTATCCAGGCTACGAGGAAAATATTATATAAGTAAATACCTTTCGACGATCGTCAGGTTCGAATCACCGACGTAACGCAAGCCATGAAGCGAACTGTTCGTGCAATATTGCTTGAGGACATTTTTTATATCTGGATCATTTAAGCACTGCTGCGCGCTTTCGTGTTTCCTGATGTTAAGACATTTTTAATTTGTCAGTACCAATTACCGTGACATTGCCATTTGTTTTAGAAATGTTCTATCGGGACATTCGTGGCGAATTACCTTATAGTCTTATCATTGTCGTGATGTTGTGCCGTAGCATTGTCTCTCTTCGATATTATATTTTTATTGAATCTCGATCTCAATGCCGTGTCCTTCGACCGATACATGATCTTGAAAGGTGTTTATTTCTCTTAAAGTTATGCTAATTACACGTAAAATTGTTTCGAGTTCAGTCTCTAAATATTTGTTCCGCCATAACTTGAAAACGGCCGAACGTGTTTCAATAAAATTCTGTACCCGTGTAAAAGGCTTTCAAACTTAGAAGATAGGCTACTTTATATTAGGCTCGCGATAAAGTATCAAACGACAAATGTTACCATTAGGGGTACTTTTAACCCTCTGAACTTTAAGAAGAAACAAATAGCCCCCCAAATTATGAGAATACCTTCACAGACGTTGGTCGTATTTTATAGTTATCCCGCGTGGCGTATCCCTCCAGTCGCTGAGGCGACTTGTACGGGTTCTGCAAGTGAACAGTGTTGATGGTATAGGGTATATTGAGATCGTGATTTCTCAAACAATTCAGCGTGGCCTTGTCGTTCGTCTTACAAGGATCTCGATAGTAGAGTTTGATCGGCATTGCATCGATGTCGCGGACCTTATCGTCGTTCAGATTCCTAAAACGAATTCGCGACTCGAGTTTCGAACGATTCTTCTTAAAATGAAATTCTTAATTCACGGGTACGATGATCCTAACACTCTACGATTGAAACGCAAATACCCCAATTTTACTTTTCAAGGTTCAGAATGTTTCTAGGGATCTTCGGATCCCGTGGGAGGCTCTGCCACTGGAAAATAGGAAAGCAATCGATGGAAAAATATATCTATTTCAAAAGAAGTAACAATGTAGATCCTGTTTGAAGTGAAATTTACGAACGCAGTATGTTTCGTTTCGAAGGTCCAGGATTAAGAAGAACGGATCCCACGTTTAGTCAGAAAATATTTTCACGCAATTAGGGTGACCCGGGAAAAGTGTGTCGGTCCCTTTTGAGCCATCAGTGAACGATGTCTGTCAATCGACTGGGGGTAAACGGTACCATGGGCATCCTTTTAACGTCCACAGGATCCTCGCGTGCCAACGTGTCTTGTTGTCTTTACTCCATGTGCATGCGCGCCTACGCGATGACACAGATAATTACAGACGACTGTTTTGTATCGTTTATGCTCGTAGGTGTCTTTCGGTCAAAAAGATCGAGACACGTATGTATGTACATGTGACCATTTGCTTTTTTTTAAGAACTTTCATTTAACAAGAAAACAGAAAGTTTGTTATTGTTTTAGTAGCGAGAACAATCGCGTATATCTACCTTGATTATTAATTGTTAAACGTCGATGTTCTGTCCATTTTAGCTGCGTTATAATTGATGTCGAGACAAATACATTGAGTACCCCAAAGTAGTCAAGGTCATTTAAAGGTTTCAAGGTTAAATTGTTTAATAATAATGAAGATAAAATTGCAATTAAAATTACATTAGAAGGGGGCCCAGTCATTGTATTACGCTTTCCTCGAAAACGGAAGCCTCGTAAGGAAAGACGAGTGCAAGGTCGAGAGTAAACATCGTTTAAATTGTCAATTCTGTGTACAGAGCCGGGCTTTCACGATTTTCCAACGAGATAAGAAAAGAAGTTACGAGCACGTCGACGATCGTTTCTCATTACGCGACAATTACAGCCGCGAACCGCCTAGTGAAAATGTTAGCTACTCTTCACGCCCGTTCGACAGAAACGTTTCGTGACCGTGTCTAATTAAGAAGATATTCCTATCGTAAAACGCATATTTTTTGGTTTTTCTTTTTTAACCATCCTCCAGCGAACTATTAAATATTTCTATTTATTACGCTACAATTAAAATAATCTAAACAAAAATATCTGATACCACGTCCATAACATGTTAAAAAATGTATACAATAATTATCGACACAATGGGCGTCGCTCCATTGGTTAATTATGCAGTAGAAATGTGCATGGAATGAGCGATTATTGTTAAAAAACCTTTTTGCTCGGCTTATCGAGTCATGAAACGAATATTGACTTCAGTACTTAAGGACGCGAGAACGGGCACATGCAATAAGCAGAAAGTTTAATAAAACTTATTAAATGCTGAACTAGATCTAATTTACAAGATAGAACGGAAAGACACGCGGTCAGTAAAGCTGCAATGGCAGCGGAAAGCTTCTACTAGGTCATCTTTGTTTATTTTATGTTAATAGCGTCGTAGGAGATAACAATGATTGTACGCTGCAAAAGGAAAACAAATTTTTTTTTAAACTGTATTCCGCCTAATTAATGATACATTCACCACGTGTGTTTGAGTTATTTTAACCTATTCCCCCGATCGTAACCCAATATTATTATAAATTAAATTTAGTCGATGAAAAAGAAACTTGATGTAAACAATTCACTATTGAATATTCTTTTTTTTTTCAATTTTTCGATTAATTGAAATTTGTGCAAATTTCGATTGCAGAATGTCGCAGAAAAATAAAAAACGGAAGTTAGAGGGGGAGGAACAGACCATGTCCGACTGGGAGCAGGAGAATATTTTCCTAGGCAAAACAAGACATGAAATGGAATCTATGTGGGAGGTACACAGTTCAACCATTAATCCTATTCACACTTCTTTATTTATTTGATGTTTTTGTTGCACAAAGTATATGTAAAAATAATAAAGAAGTGCAAAAGGTCGAGGTGTAGGTAGCAATTGTTACAAGGTTTAACTTCACTCGTTAAACGTTTGATACGATCGTGTATGTTGCAGCTTCCACAAATATTTCATTTTCTTCATCTGACGAAAGAAACTTTAAATATACCTCATTTGTCCATGTACGAGATGGAACGTATGCTTTTAATACCAAGAGCTTCGAAACAATTGGCAAACATCATGACTTCTTTGTTAAGGTAAAGCGATGATGTGTAATCAAATCGAACGTTTAAAATGAAATAATAATTTTACGTGTCGCATTTTGTAATAAAGAATCGTACATTTGTTAACTTCAGTTCCCCCATCACCAAAGCAAAGTTGAGGAAAATACCACCCATGCCGTACGAGTTCTGGACAAACATTTTAGCCTATAAGATAAAAAGTTGGTTCAAAATTTACGAGGGGAAACATCGGGATGCGGTGAAAGTAAGTGTTTACCATTGTTACGTCGTTGATCGGAACAACGCATCTGCTGTGCGACAAATAACTTGGAATAAGAGTTTTTTATGCTTGGATCTCCATTATGCATCGTAGTGACAAGAAATGTGATCAAAGATTTTTAGGTTCTAGAAACCATCGGCGTCGAGCCGGAATTCTGGAATGTTTTCCCCGACGCGCCTCTTCTGAATGGCAAAGATTTCGAGGAGTTGAGTTTCAAACAGAAAGTCTGGCTTCTAAAAACAATCTGTGATACGGTCATGGTACGATAGAACGAATTATATTAAGCTCTGAATAAAAAAATATTTATCGCGTACCCGTCTATTTTTAAATTTTTTAGCACACTAGGAAAACTGTACACGAAGAGATAGCTAAGCAACCATGGGAAGACCAATTTGAGACAGTCTTAGGGACCGATCGCTATGGGGCAAGATACATTTATTTCCCACAATTCCTTAAAAGTGATCTGCGAGTCTATAGGCATTGTCTCGATAATAAAATTCTATCCTCCGTGAAGGTATTAGACGCTAATGATAAATTGCTCGATCTCATCCGCCGTGTTATATATACTTTTTCGTTGATCGGATTATCATTTCAGCCCATCAAGCCAAAGTTGAAAACGGGCACGGAAAATAAAATACTAAAGCAAACCGACTCGATGAGGAAAAAAGCTAAATACAAAAAAAGAAAAACACGATGGAGCAACGGTTTGTCTACGAAGTCGAGGAAAAAAGTAAACAAATCTGACAAAAAGGAATCGAACGACTGCAAGTGCACTAGCGATAGTGCTACGAGCTCCTTGAACAAAGACGCAGATCTGAGTAGTACAAGCACCTGTAATAATAATAATAACAATAACAATAATAACAGTAGTGATAATAAGAATAAAAAAAAAATTAATTTAGATATCATTAATGGAAAAAGGTCGAGAAGTTTATCGAAATGTTCGGAAATGAGCGCGGAGCCTAATGAAACACACTGTAAAAATGTAAATTCGAGTGGTTGCGATACAACCAGTTCACTAGAAACGACTTCCGACGCGAGGTTGCCTGGGAAAATGTTCAAGGGATTCTCGGATAGTAGCAGTAATGAAAAATGTAATATAGAAATACTTAGCGGTATACTGAGCAATTTGAAGTCTGAAACCAGCGAAGAGAAGGGGACGGACGATGTGAACGATTCGTCGACGCATACTTCGCAGATCAAAGTAGAATCGAACCCAATGAGACAATATTTAGATACGATGGATTTGGGTACAGGTAGAAGCGGATCTGTTGATAATTTGTCCAACATTTCGAAGACCGATGACGAGAAGTTGAACGAAATTATCAGCGCCGAATGCTTGAAGTTGGGCGACAAAGGTTCCAGTAATTTTCACACAGTTAGAGAGACGCACCAAATATCAACCACGTCGAAGTCCGACGACGAGAAATTAAACGAAACCAAAACCGGCCACAGCACGCCCGAAGATAATGTTAGTCTTATCGAGGAGACGACGGAATATAAAATTACCAGGCAAAGTAAAGGACTCGTTAAAGATCAGAAACGAAATGATCTGATCGCTAGGGACAAGAGGGAATCGCAACCAGGTCAAAGTAGCGACGTTTTAGACGAGTCAGAATCCGACGACGAGCAGAATCTCTCTCTGAGCGAATTGAGAAGGATATTGCAACGAGAAGCAATGGACGACGATAGCGAAATCGGATACAACCTTCGAAAAGTAAAGAATGAAAAATCGCATCGTTGGACGCAAGAAGTGCAAGATTTCAATGGGATGCTATTGGAGCTCGGTGTTTCGAAGTTTCAACTTGTAGCTGATAGCGTCGATTCATTGAGGGACCTCATATCTACTTTTTTACAGAAAAGCAACAATCCAAGCGCCGATACCGACGATGACGTACGTAATTCATTTATTCTATAATTTTAATTATACTGTTCGTTGCGCTTTCTTAATCTTTGCAATAAAGTATAAGATACTTACGCCCTAAAACTAATATTTTAAAGTTTACTTAATACTTTCGAAAAACTTTATCCTTAATAAATAGTCGAGGAAGTTGCAAAACGTTTATTTGTCATTGCAAATTAAAGAGACCGTTTTGATATTTAATATCACCATGTGTTTGTTGTTTTTCAGATTGAGCCTATACCTCAGTGCGAAGTGAAACTGGTCAAGAAATTGTCAGATCTACTCGCCTCTTTGAAGGAAATGGAGTCGGCGTTGTGCGACTCGTTTAAAAAAGCCAGGGCGAAGCTACAAAGAGAATTGGCCAATTTAAAAGAAGGGTATATTTATTTTTATTCTTATTAAAGCACGTAATATAATATTACACGAAATATTAAATTCTACCAACACCATTCATTCCATCATGTTGAGTTTAATCTGGGAACAATTGTTTTAGTTTGATATTTATTCAATAGCATTCTACGTGAAATGAAATATCATTTAAATGACCACTTATCCATCTTAAATCAGACTGCATCCCTTTGAAAGTTCCATCTCTTCGCGTATCATCGAAATCTTCAATGAGACAGCTTGTAGGGTTCTCTTTGCTAGTCGATGATAATTTTTTAGTGTAATATCACGAATATACCCTATGTTTCCAAATTAAAGGTACATCCTTGCCTGAAACCTCTAAAAATTATTGTAAATCATTTATGGTCGATAAAGAGGTTATTCACCCACATTTTTTTTAGTGTGGAGTGTCAGGACTCATCTGGGGAGGGTGTCGGCTCTAATTGGTGGGTTCTTGGATCACAGGGCTATCCACTGCCAACTTCCGGAGATGCAACGTTTCAAACGTTACCGCAGTCTACCTTATCCCCAACTGGTCACCAAAGCAACTCCAACAAAAACGAAGAACGCCAAGAGAAATGTGTCAGCCTCGCAGAGGACAGTAAACAAGATCCCCAAGAGTGCAAAGACGGACAGGGCGAGAACGCATCAAGCGAATTGCAGAGAGGCGAGGACAATAGCCAGGAAAGCACAGGAGCCGAAGAAGAAGCAAAGGAAGGCTCAAACTACGACGAAGGTAAAAGATACATAATCAACGTAATTGCTTTGATTTATCGGTATTGACAAGTACTTTATTTTTGTTGTTACAAACAGGACAAGAAACGCGAAGAGTATTGCGGGCGCGCGGCGTCTCTTCCTACACAGAACAATTTTATTCAGATGACGAGATTGAAGAGAACGAGCTGGAAGAATGGGCCAACGTTGAGGCAGTCTACGCGGCTCCCAGCGCACAGGCCAGTACATCCACTCCTTACTTTAGTGCGAAAATCAAATACGCTGATGGTCGAACAAATGAAGAGGAGGACTCAGACCAAGATTGGATTCTACCAAGCTCTCGCAAAAGGAAAAATAAACGTCCGTGTAAGTATGTCGAATTAGTTGTAACATTGAAGCGATTGAACTCTTCGATGTACCTTAATACTTATTTGTTGAGATTAAAAGAACTGCACCGAATAGTACGATCAAAATTATAGAGCTCCGATTAAAACAAATGATGCAGTCGATCATGGCATTATTTTATACCCCTAACCAAGAGCACACAACCAAGTCCCGGAGGCTGTACTATAAATCTAACAGACAATTTTATGCCGCCAACGAGCAATGTTTATTGTATTCTTTCAGCTGCCAATAGAAGATTAAAATCATTCGAACACAAATTACAAAGCATTAAAGTTGACGAGCTACAAGAGGCAGCGGAATCGCTAGTGGCTACCCCGTCGATTGTAAAAAATGAGAAAGATAAACTTACGGCCAAAGACACCCAAATACGCAAATCGGAGAACATTACCGATTCGAAAGCTTTCGAAGCCAATGCCGCCGAGGCGAATCACGAGGCCGTGCCAGAGAGTCATGAAGCCGTAGCAAAGAATCAGGAAGCTGCAATAGAGAAACACGAGGCTGTGGCAGAAAATCACGTTGCTGTGGTGGAGAATAATTCTAAAAAAACAGTGCCTTCCGCGGAAACGATCAGCAATATCGAGAACTTCGAGAGCGTGCATTCGGAGCTGGATATCAAAGATGAGGGGCCGATTTACGATTACGCGCCGTGTCAGGTTGATAATGGTTACACCCCTACCCTAAACTCGAATTACATGGTGATCAAAACCGAACCCAATCCGATGAATTATTACGTGATGCAACCGAATACAGCAACCGTCGTTTCGCCCAACACGATCATGCAACCTGGACCGATGGTCTCGAGTATCGTGCCGCCGGTGCAGCAAGGTTATTACGTACACGGAGGGCAAAATTACATTATTCAGAATCCGCAACCAGGTGTGGTTCCTCATCATTCGTTGCAACCGCAGGGACCGCAAATGATAACGCCCCAGCAATTTGTCAACCATCCTGGTTACGTGCCATACATGGTAGCAACGGCGCATCCGCAGCGCGAATTCATACCCGCGAATCCTCAGTTTTATCATCCGAATTATCATCAAAATCCACCCATGCCGACTCATTCCAATCCGGACATATCGATCAGGCCTAGCCAGAACAGATACCCGATATCGCGTCACAATTATCCACATCCTACCAACGGTGCAGTTATAAGAAGCAACATGCCGATCAGAGGAAATTTCCCGCGAACGAATAACGCCAGATTGCCGAGGAGCATGCCGCAGCCACGCGGAAGCCCCGCCAGGGCACCGAGGCCAAGGAAAACGAACACATCGTCGGAGAGCCAGGCCAAGACAACTTCTTTGATCGTCCTCAGCGATAGCGACGACGAGATCGAAATGATCGTCACTCAGAAGACAGGCTCTACGAGCGAAACGGGGAAAACGAAGACGACGCCTCGTAGAAACTCTGCGCAGAATAAACAGACGCCGACCGTTATTTCGGATATTACAGTGGCCACGCCGAAAGGATCCATCCCGCAGCAAATAATACAGCGTATGAGCCAAGGTGGCATCTCGATAACGCCTGTGAAACCTGCGCCGCCGGTTCAAAGCCCGAACACGCAGCTGGTGGTGGTCGTCAATGATACTGGAAGCCATTATGCCTTAGCACTGCCAAACGGAAGCAAGCTCATCCTGACTCCTGAACAGGTGGCGCAGATACGAGCGTCGAACGGCGGGAAACTAATTTTGTAAAATTGAATTTCCTCCGAACGGAGAGGGAAAATTACACGGAGGAACTTTCGTGAGTGAATGGTAATCTTGAGCCGTATTTATGCCTCTTCGCTCTGGATAATCATCCGTAACCATTGTCCAAAGCAAAGAGATGTAAATTCAGCTTCGGTAAGTTGTGAATGGAGCGGACTGAAACGACGCACTTTGATCTCTTTCACTTATGATGTGCTTTTGAAGCTGATGTTCCTGCAGTGTATAGTGGAGGCTACGATTCTGTACGTGTATTAAAATACACCGTGTACACGTGTCACGTGTACCTGCGTAAACCGTCACACGATTTAAAGAACACGTGTAAAGACAGTAGTGCACCTTATTTCATGAATATTTAACACACATGTATTTAAGGTTTGACGCATTTATTATATTTTCTTGTTATTTGTCTACGATTGTTGCATCGGCGTGTTTGAACCATTTAGTAAATTGAATTTGTTGTAATGGATGGCATTATACAAAATTAAATACGCAGGGTGGATTGCTAAATAAATGAACGATAAAAAAATCGCCGTTCAAAATATAACAAATTAAGAAGTACTCACAATTTTACTTAAACTTCTAGAACTTCTGGAATACGGGGATTAATAGTATGGAACATTTGAAATAATACTCATCTTGCCTCTGATAATTCGTAAGATTTTCTACTTGCATTTAAGAAAAACAATCGTTTATTATTATTTCGTTAGGTACAAAATTGTCTGGTTTGTCAACGACGATAGACATTTTAGTTGGTTACATAAGGGTTAAATATGAACGAAATAAGGACTAGTAAGGACGAAGTAACTTCATACGTGAAGATACGTACAATCATAATTTTACGCATACACGTGAGAATCTGTGTAGACGCGAAATAAGGAGTCTTTAATGTTTAGTACAGAATGTGACTCTCGCCTCTTCCTTTTTACACTTGGCGAATCAGTTTGTGCAAATAAGTTACATTTAATGTGTACGAAAATTTTTTATTTTAAAAACTTGGGGCAATATTTGGGCATGTTTCGTTTTTAGAAACTGCCAAAACGTATTCGTTCGTAATCGAATTGACTAATAGTTTCTGTTATCGACATTGATTAACGAAAGAGCATAATAATACTATTCTTTAATATGTGATATTTCATTGCTGGATATATATGCTAGCGACATTACTTTATCTATAGTTTTTATGTTTTGTAATACATTGATTAAGCATTAAGTATAAATTGAAACGAAAGAATTCAAAGTATGCAATCATTTTTATTCAGAGCTATGAGTTTCAGTATAATGTATACGAACAACGTTTTCCCCGTGGAAGAGAATTATTTTTTCTTCTTTTTTTTTTTATTTGAATTAATTATGTTTAAATTTATTGCGATTGTTTATATCACCACAAACGAAGCCCAACTTCGAAATGTTGAGTCTTTAGAGGGAAATGAAGTGTATATTTAAAATAGTTTGTTTAATATATTGTATAAATTATATATTCAGCATTTTATTCCAGACACCACTCTGAAATGTTCCATTACATTTAATGCTCCATGAAACTGAAAATGAGTTTTATGTGGTATTTAATAATACGAAACTTTTATATATACAGAATACAATTTATTTAGATATTTACAAATATTTAATGTGTTGTTTAGTAAATAATATGGATTGTCGGAAATTCGTTCGATATTTTCCGTTTAAAGAATAGATATCGAATACATTTTTATATAAAAACTGAAATATATATTTAATAAATTCGCATAAAGAATAATAACGTATTCAGATAAAATAATATCGAGAAAAATTTAATAATGCATTATCATACAATCAGCAATATACAACATCAGAGAGCATATTTATCCACATATATTACTTTATCTCTTCACAATGCATTATGCTTATGTTACAAGTATATTACAAAAAAATATGCTAAGAAACCTTTGTACACTTTACAGTGAATAGGAACGTTAAATACTTTAATAATAACAACAATGAGTATGCTTTTCCTTGAAATATAAATTATAAAAGAGAAAACAAATAAGACTGAGTCAGACTTTTAAAGCATTAGAAAATTACAGGAACTTGAATTATTTACAATTAACATTGCCAACATGTTATACAAAATTTATCATTCGTAATAGAATCCATTAAAGCTTTTGAAATGTTTAAAAAATGTTGAGAATATCAATTCACTGATAGATTAATGGCATAAAAAGCTTGATTGTTCGATCTTCGAACGTGTTCGGCTTACGAAACTATCTCAGGAAATTAAGATGTTTATTAAGATATACTAAAGTAATCGTCGATAATTTGTCTATAAGACACGCATAGAAGATATATCTCCCATTGCCTGGAATTTTAAATCTGATTTTTATTCTTGTACAGATCTTTATCAAATGCCAAGAACCTTGACAGACGTGCTCCATTGTAAGGTGTTTCACTTCCTGGCGGATGTAATCTCATCTAAAACAAAGATACATACATGAAACTAATTTATGAACGGAAAATAAGTAATGAGAAATATTGAAAAGAATAGATACTAATTATTCTATTCCCATTTCTTTTCAGCTGAAACTTTATGTGAAGTACTACCTACCGCAATATGCGCATCTCTGATGCAGTCTTCGTGGTTCACTTCGTGATAAAAGGTTTTGAACAGATTAATACTACGGTACATGTTTTTTTTAGTTTAGTAATAACTTGTGTATACCACGCGATTCTTCGATTTTGTTTTTTTTTAAGCTCACAAGGGATTACAGCCACACCGCTGGACATGTTAATGGCATTTAGAGGGACGAATCTAAGATCGAATGTCGATTATAATTTTACCTTATGACATTTTCTTATATCTCTAACCGGTTTCGAGATATAACTTTTCCCAATGCGTGGGACACCCTGCGAACGAAATAATCTATAGAATGTCGTCACTCGATCTTTTCTTTTTTATATATTATTAACAATAAATTATTTTACTAATATTTTTTTAGATTCGTCCACGCTAAATATCATAATCTTCAGAGGTCGGGGCCGTGGGATTTTCTTATCAGAGACAAACGAGCTTTTTCAACGTAACGAAGTAAGGTCAACTTAAATCGAACGAACTTCATTAAAGTAACTAACGAGACAATTTCTGTTATTACAGTTAAGATTTATTCTTCAAGAGACAGGCATTCACGTGTATAAATATATCAAACGTAATCAATGTTCACGACGCAATGGATAATGGAAAGTTAGTGCGCAAACGGTTATCGAAATATCAGGGATTGCGTAACCATAGTTTCTGGGTTTTCTCGAAGCAGCTTTCGAAGCCATAACGTGGCGGATTAATGATCAATTTGCCCAACTCCATTGTGGTTAGTTTTTTTTTTTTAATGTTATCGTCAAAAGATACAAATCACCCATCAAGCTCGGAAGGTACAGAGCACCGGTAAAGTCTAAGTCCTTCTAATTCTAATTCTCCGGCGTTAAAAGGAACAAAAAGGTGGTAAAAATATAAGACTCGGTATTCGATTTACGTCCGATCCTACCAGAATTTCACATACAATGAAATAACAATAATAGTATTAAATAAAATGCTTTGTACTATTGCAGATTAAATAAGGTAATTGCACCAGTAGTAAATATTACCCACTATTGGTGCTTTTACTTTAATTCCCTTTATCGTGTATAAATTTCAATTACCAAGGATCGTTCGATCATTCGGTTCGAATGGTCCAACAACGAACCGGACTATTGGTTGTTCAAATTTAAAGAAAAAAAAAAAAAAAACAAGTGCTTTGTAATTATAGGACTGCTGGGATGCAAGCTTGAGCATTAATCGCGCATTGCATAAATTGCACGCGTAGTTTCGGCCGTGCAGCACTGATTCTCATCTATTTCTTGGCGAGGTCATCCGCAGCTTTCTCATCCCCTTCCGCGTTTCTGAATCGCTTCTGCAAGAAAAAAAAAACCGACACCAATCCGTTACACGTGATGGACACGGCGTTACGATGATGATGCGTGCATCTCGGGTGAAACTGACCTTCGCTTGGCTTACTTTTATCGTGTGCTTTTCGAGATTCGATTGGAAACCGTCAGTTCTCTTTTGTGGGACGCGATAGTGACACAAGTCACGTCGACATTCATACTATTTCTGTTCTACCAGACACAAAATTAACACTTCGATGGCATCACGTTTCACGCAAAGGCTGTCACTAGAGACATTTACAAAAGCTTCTAATATTCTACTTTTAAAAAATTTTTTTCCATCATTTTAACGACAGCTTCGAATCGAATCCCGCATTATGGAAGTGTAATCGCGTGGACGAAAAACGGGTGAAATGCGGCTGAAGCACACAAGCTCCCTTTGGCAATTTAATACGGGGGACTGCATTTCAGTTTCATTTACTCTTTAAACTTAAATGTTCCTTCTTTAAATTCACCTGGCTTGTTCTAGCTCGCTGTAAAGCGCGCATAGTTTTGCGACTTCGGTTTGTTCGCATACTTAATAACATTTGATGTGTTTTTTCTCGACGACGACTGCTTTCGACGAGAAAAATCTCGTTATTCGGTCCCGATGATCTCACCGACCCGATGACTCACCATAATTCTGTATTTCTCTTTGCAGGCGTACTCCGTTTCGTCCACGTCGTTGTAGCAATCGCTTTTGTAATCCGGAGGTATCGGTTTCCCCTCGAATTGGCACAGCTTGGACAACGGTTTCGCGTTCACGATCATCTTCTTGAAGCCCGTCGGCTTCTGCTGCGGGCAATAGAACACGTCCGGTGTGTTTTTGTCGAAGACGATGCTCTTCCGCATCATGTCGCCCGCTTCGACTGTGACGAGAACCACCTGACGAAACAAATCACCCTATCAGATCCTGTACACCACGTAACATTGTTGCAATTTTATTTTAACGTAAAGGAACGGAGATTTTGTGCGTCACGTATCGATCGTTCGTGCGTAAAGGTGATTCATAGATCGTTAAAACTTTCCTCTCGTGAAAGGATCGGATATTCATCTATCGCGAGTTCCCTGATTTTACGCAATAATGTACGCTGTTCGCGGACCAATTTCCCTCTGAATTTGCGTGTAGTCGCGTCAGAGAAGGAAGGAAAAGTATGGCGATGGTCCAAGAGAGCGAAATCAGCACAAAGACATCGTTTTCCCCGATTTCTCCGCAAGTGATTTCAATGCGCGCAATCTCTTCCGGGAAACGTGAAATGCAGGAAGCATAGGAGAGCGTGAATCGTCGTCGATGCATTACGTCAGGGCTTCTTAAACTATGGATCGTAAATTGTCAGCAAAAATGGACAAAATTCTTATTTGGACAGAAATTTCGAACGACAAAAGATTAGTTTTTAAACTGTAGATCATAGCTCGTCAACTAAAAGCACTATTAGGCGTGAAACTTACGACAAGCATGGCCACTATATTGCATACGTATGCGGCGCCTGGAAAAAAAAGAAAACGTATGTTAGTTTTGTAACAAGAGCAAAGTGACTGAATATTGGCTCTAATCGCAACAAACTAGTTTTTTTTTTTTAATCACTGATACCATCGTTTTTCTATTTTTAATTTATTTATCAAAAATTCAAGGAACAACAAAATTATCAATCTCATGATTAAGAGTATAAAGTTAGTAGGATGTCCTTGAATAAGAGTTTAATGCTAAAAATATTAGTTTACTGTTCGAAGCTTCGGTTTTAATAATTTTAAAAAGGTTTCATTCTGTACGCTGAAGGTTGTGCAAGGTAGAGCGCGAACGTACTCCGTCATTAAGCAAACGTAAACTATGAAAACTGGGCCACCTGGAAAGGAAGTCAATGCCGTGCATTTACGCGACAGACAATCCCTTTTTCCAAGTCATTCTTACGGTGTTGTCTGATCCTTGTCAATAACCAGTGGCAAAACTGCTCACGATCTTTTCACAGGATGATTCTAAATGTTATAAAGAAAACCGCTATTGTTTCGAGGAATAAAAATTTCAAGAACGTATAGAAATTACAGACGTGTTAATGTTCGATGAAAAAATGCATAACCAGTTGCAAGATCAGTTTCCTTCGACTGTCTCGACTCTGGATAGAATTGTAAATGAGTGCATACAGACGGAAATATTATATTCACAATGTACGGAATACGAGTACCGATACAGTGAACGTAAGTTTCAAGAGTGATCAGATGTTAATGAGGAGATGCAAATGGTTGTAGGGTCAGTTTCCTTGAACTGATCTTTCACTTTGTGCGTACAACTCTAAATGAGTGAAAAAACACGGATAAAAATATTGCCTGTGAATAGCAAGATACAATCGACTAAATATTAAATACAAGCTTGGAGAATGTATAGAAGAATGTGTATGTTAAATGTTAATGAAGATATGTATAACAGTTACAGGGTCAATTCTCTCGAAGATCTGTTTGACTTTATATTCAACCGTACAGTGGGAGTGCAGACTCGGACAGACACTATTTTTATCTGTCTGATCTGTCATCGATCCTAAGCACCGCTCAAGCGCGTCTTCTGCAAGGACGACGAGGTCGGATTGGTTCCGCGTGGTGCGTTTGATCAGGCTGCTCCTGTTTCAAGATACAGATCACGCTGAACCGATACCCTTCTGACATTTCGTTAACAGGATACAACACTTGCATAGGCGTAAGCCAATTCCTTGTCGATGGATCCCAGTTTATTGACAAACAAATAACCTGGTACTCGATCATCGACGTAAGAGTTAACGAATACACAGTCATTGGTTGCATCGAAGTACCCGATCCAATCACAGGTGTACCGATATTTTATATATCGGTATAGAGACGTAAAAATCGAACCTACTTTTAAAAAACAGATTTGCATTCTCTCTTGTTCATCAAGATGTTCTTATTCCCATGTAGGTCAATGTTTAATGACGTGTAAAAGTGAGAGCGTTACGAAAGCGATCATTGATGCCATGTTCGCCGAAAATGCATATTATACGTAGGTCAAATAATCCTCGTATCGAAATGAAAAGTAAATTGTATTTATACATCATTGATTTTAAGTTCATTTGAACTTAATATGTATACATGAACGGGTAGGTAGTAAAATAAATAAACATTACGGTAATATTAACAACAAACGATCTATTTTTGTATATTTATACAAATATATTTATATTCCGTCGTTACGTTGCACTACTCTCGACTCGATCGTTTCGCGGTTTGTTAATTTTAAATTCGCTTACATCTAAATTGCCGTTAGCAGTGGCGTAATTTCTGATTGCTGAAACGTGCAGGCGCAGACGCGTTTTAACGTGACATTTCCATTCTGACATTTTGTCTATGGCATTTAAGGCATCAGTGATCCGCTCGTCGTAACGTGCTCGCGAAAGCAACCACGATCCGACTAAATTGTTATTTCATTGGAGACGGTAGTATCAAATCGCACAATGAATCTACGGTCTGTTAAAAGTACAATTGATTACTACACTTATCAAGGCATCTTGTCCACTCGATAGACCGAGGAAAACACGAGAGATCCTAATTACTTGTTCCAACAATATCTTCACTGAAAAGCTAACTTATACAGCACGTTTAGTTTCCTTATAAATGATTCAAACGGTAGATTCTCTAATTATTTCAACGTACTATTTTTAATATTAGAGTTCTACCTAAAATCTCTGACAAAGATATTCGACGATTGAATTCCTCTTTCGAGAAAAGTTGAAGGAATAGAAAATAATTTAGAAATCCAACGCTAGACGTTCTGTTAATACTGAAGTATCGGGTGCGTTTAGGTACTATTGTTCTGTCAGTTAAATAGCGTCAGCGCAACGTCTAACGTTATATGCATGGTGTGTCTCATCCCGCATACCTTAACAAACACGCAACGTATTATTGCGTGGATTTCCGTTTACAATTCCGAAACATGTACCAATATGTTCACGTTATCGACTGTCGAATGGAACGATTGAACTTGTGACTGTTCGTAGGTGTAGACGGGTCAGCTTATATGGAAAACTTACCCATGCTGATGAACGCGTTTTGCACGGACAAGAACACCTTGTTGATCCACGCGAGACGGCGTCTCTTCGTTGACTGAGATTGCAACGGATTCGCGCTCCCCGGAGGCCCTGAAAGTGAATGCCGTTATAATATACAGGAGGTATCAAAAACGTTGGGCTAACAGTACAACCAGTCGTCGAGTTAACCGAGTTACAGATATTAAATTGCATCCTTAGGGTCGTTCGTCGATGCAAACATTTTCATGTTAATAAAAGCAATGCCAAGATCCGCTACTATAGCAGGGACTTTATAAAGAAAAATTAATCTTTCTCTTTAAATCTTTTGTAATATCAGTCGTTATAGTGATCGAAATAATTAAGAATGTTTCTTTCGTTATTACGGGCTGCTCTCATACGTGGTTAGGAATTTTGGATAGCGTGAACATAAATGGAGTGGGTATAGTGTGGGTAGACGACCTCGTCCTTCCCATATTCAGGCTCGATAGTGTCATCAATTTGTGGTGGGATTCGTTTCAAGGATCGCTTTTCTTCTAAGTAGAATAGATAACGGGCACGTTTTATTTCATTGGTTCTTTTGTATATACAAATATCTCTCACAAAAAAATCATCGTACATGTACAAAAATATATTACTCGTTGATCTTTTACACAATGATTCGAATGAATGCACAGCATCGCACGGGAAATAATTCATTATAAAATATCGTCTTTCTGCCAGAATTGAAAAATTCCAGCGTGGACAGCATATTACGTCCAGCGAATTATATGTTGGCCGCCTAAAATAAAAATCGATTAATTTATATATACACCGCAAATGTGTACGCATGCTAGTATTTTTTCGCTTATTTTTTGTTTTACCAGTTCGTCTAAATCAATGTCCACGGTATCTGTAGACATATCTAGTTCCTTAAAAGAGTCCACAGTATCAAGTTTATCATCCATTTTAGTAGACTCTTCAAGATTAATCTTGTTAACATCCTGTTCATTATCTTCCGTGTTAAATTCGTTTCTGAATTAAACATAATATTCATATTAAAAATACTCTCGTATTTTAAATATATTCACTACGCTTATCGCGCTATGGAAATTAATCCTTACTTCTTTTTTGCTTTGGGATCTATGCTTTCCAATTGAAACAATTCTGCAACTCTTTGAAGATGGTCTTTACTTTTTTCTTTCACTGATGGTGCTTCCAAAATCTTCTTTAAATAATCCTCCATAGGCGGTAATGGTTTATCCGGGTTAAGGGCGCGATGAGATAACATATTCCAGATATGTTGCATTGCAGGATCTGGCAGACTTCCTGGTAGAAAACACTGATTCCCCTCCACTATATAACTGTCTCTGAAATTATAATAATTTTTCATTAGTTATCGCACATGATCAACCAAATGCTGCAAATGTACTCACTCTGTTTCGGGTAATATCAGGGAGTCTAATAAATTATCAACAGCTTCATTTTGTTCACTGGTTAACTGTTTAATGACAGATTTAATAGGTCTTGTAACCATTACTCTTCGATCTTCTGCAAATGCTAAAGATATTTCTACCAAGCACTGTACGAATATAAATATACTTTATGCGATGACACACGTTTAAAAAAAAAAATAATATATATCGAAAAATAATTTAGAATTACCCATGGTTCATCGGGAACATCGATACACGGAAACAATGCCACCATTTTTGGTGCACGGTCGTTGTTATTAACTTTTCTCACAATGGCGACTACGTCCAATTCGAGCATTGCAAGTACCAAACTATAAAACGGATCTTGCGCGTTCTACAATGTAATATAAACTTACATATTGGTAGCTTGAAGATTTCGAACAAAAGTAACATGATAAGACATACTTGCACTCGGGACGAGGGTAAAACAACATTTGTAGTATTGTCGTACCAGTGCTCCAAGTCAACATCCCTTTTCCTTGCAAAACTATGAATAATGTAGCTCTTTGGCCCGCTTTTATAACTCAAAGCATCCTCTAGTTTTTCTATATTCATAAAACCATTCATGTATTTGCCCTGTCGCGTGTAAATTTACGGACAAAAAAAAGAAATTTCAAATATACTTTCGACTGGAATAAAAACTCCTCCATATTTATATCCTGGCACAATCTCATCCTTTTTGTAGATTGTCCTTTGTCTATCCGAATACTCTGTTACCGTTACTACATTTTCGTCGCCTTTGGCTGTTTTCCAACTTGGAAATTTGCAAGTATCAGTCACCTACCAAACATTACATTTAATTCAAATAATTATAGAAAAAAATAAATACCCTGATTAAACTTGGAATTTTTGCTTACTTTAATGTAACTGACTATTGGAATTTTTATATCAATTAGTTCTAAAGTAGCATACCACGGTGATGGTTTTGTTGGTACCTCTAGATAAAATCTTAAATCAGCTACAGCATTATCAAATGTTACGTGTTGACCATCAATCTAGTTAAATACAACAAAAATTTATCAGCAATTGTACCAGAGTATATTATGGCTGTAGATATTACTTACCTTCTTATGAAGATCTTTAAGAAATGCTTTGCTAATGCTAAGAGAGCTTTCAGGTTCTTCATCCAACAATTCTTCTGCTCTAAAATAATAGAAAGTTGAATTATGTAAAACAATTTGTGCAAAACAAATTCTGAACAAGACTTGTTTATCATACATTGTAAGCAACTTAATTTCCTCTGTATGAAGGTGTTCTGCAATTGTATCTACCTCAAACTGCAAAATAATGTCATGTTCTTCATTAAAATCAGACATCAAAATTACTTTTCTCATGGAGTTATCAATACTAAAATAAAAAAAGAAGTAAAAGTTGAATATATTATATTGAATTACTTATTTATGCACAATAAGTTAAGATGTATTTTTGTAGCATACGCATTTTTCTTTATGAATTCCACAGTGGCACTGAGTGCTTCAATCCAATTAGAGCAATAGTTTGTTTCGTTCAAGTGCATAATTTTTTGTATTAAATTCCAATCTGGGATCTGAAAATCTGCAAACTCTCCTACATGATCTGTATTTAAACTATTCTTTGTAACAGAAGATCCCATCAGCACTACTCCAATTTCATCCTTTGGCCGTAAAAATATCTGCAAAACAATAAATGCAATAAATAAACGATAAGCAACTTTGATATTTGAGCTGTTACCTTCTTTTCAATTATTCTTTGAGCAACACATTTTATCTTATCCAATAAAACACGATTCTTCTGTGCATTAGGACGTGTTACTCCAATATTTATTAACAATACTAACGTTTCCTAGAAAATGTATTAATATTTCAATTATTAGCAATTATTTATAAAATATAATAAAATATAACCTTTTCCAATTTTGGAGGCATTTTCAAACATTCAATTCACAGCTCACAGGTACTAGAAAAGAATTCTCTTAGTCGGCTGTGCGCCGTGGTGAGGGTTAAAGATTATTCACGAGGTTTGTTTTAGTAATTTATTATTTATTTACAAAACTTTAGTACAGAGGGAATTTGATTTAATACGAGTAAATTAAATTATCCTAGTATGAACACTTTTTAGACGTGGACGCGAAAACATTGACTTATTTAGTAATTTTCCTCTCTTGCGATATGATTATAGTGTACTGTGCTCCGCTGACATGATGTCCCGCGGGACTGCAGAGGGACAATTGGTAGTCGGACCGCCCATTTATCACATGTGTGTGTAATTGCCGCGACCAATAGCGAACCAGAGTTCAATGGATACGTGGGAATAGGTGTGTCCCTTCTACTTTTCTCGCATTCCTGCCACGGGACTTGAAGTCAGCGGACAGTACCAATGGTGCTTGCATTTTGTATCAAGATATAATCGCATCTGTTAGCATACATGTCACTTCCGTTCCTGAAACAGGAACCATGAGGGCACTGATCTGCCGTTTGGCAACACTGCTTTAAGTTCGAAACAACGTGCTCGTATAGCCTCTCAATAGATATTAATGCGGTGATTTTTAGAAAATGACATTCTCATTAGAAGCTTACGAACAAAATGCAAAAGTGTAGAATTTGTAACGGGACTGATTTTTACAAGGAAGCTGGTTATTTCTTTTGCCAAACATGTCAAACGCAAAATGAGGTAATGTACTTTGTTTTCTTCTTGAAAGAAGTCGATTGCCAATCATATTTTGTGTGTACAGGATATCAGAGAGGAGGTCTTCGAATTACACGTAGATAATTCGACCAGATTGCGGAAAACAAGAATTAGAAAATTACGATTGGATGGATCAGGTATGTTTCTATATTACAAATATTATTCAACACCCTCGAAATACGTTTATATACGTAATTTTCAATGACAATGATTTTTATTGACAAGAACTTTAATTGCTAGGTGAGGAGCTTGGATGGACTTCTTGGGAATTGTACAACTTTGTTCTCATTGGACTAACAAACGAACTCGTAGAGTTAGGAGTCCCATCCAATATAAAACTAACAGTATTACAATTATGGGCAACTTATTTAGGAAAGTTAGAAATTGCATTTATCTCAAAGAAGAAAAAATTTGTGCCCAAGTTGGCTAGAAGATACAACAAAAAGTAAATTTATCTTAGTTAAAATATTCTTCTTCGATTGTTATCTGAAAAGTATTTCCTTAACAGGGATGCTGAAATTATTTATGGTAAGGTACAGTTGCAAAAGAAGAGAAGAAAACGTAGAAGAACTGGAAGCAGTACAAATACATCTATGATATCTGGTTATCAAAGCGAGGGTAGCTCCATGCGAGAATTAAGTAAAAACAAGGTAATTTACATTTATTATATTTATTGAAAGAGAAATTTAATGTTTAATAGAGAATTTATATAAAGTACATTTTTTACAGAGACTTTTAGTAACTGCAGACTACAATAGGTATCTTCAATCTCAAAGTAGTACTGAAGGTGATGGTCTTAGTCTCTTTAGTCAAAGTGGATGTAGCATTCGATCTAGCTCTATAAAATCTTCAGACAATGAGGGAAAGTAAGTGTTTGCTTTCTTTATACAAGATGTTTCTTTTATCTATCATGTTGTACAATGTTTCATATAATTTTTCGTTTGTTCAGAGTGAAATACAGTTCTCATGCTAAAGAGGAAATAAAGAAAATCAAAAGATTATCTAAACATGTACCTTGGTACAAAAGAGCCAAGTACAAAAAATATCACATAAGTACTCAGTACAAAGTAGGACCTCATATAATTACTCCAATGAGACTGTGGGCAATTATATATCTAGCTCTTCGAATTCATAATCACCCCATACAATTAGGAGACATGTTAAGGTGCGTAATAAACAGATATCGTTTATCATCGTTTCCGATCTAATTTTACAAGTTCATTTATAAAAATATATCTTTAGGTATGGAAGAGAAGGGCATTTATCATACTACAAGTTAGATCATCTATTACCGCCAGAAATAAATTTAACTAAAAGAGAAAGAAATTTATTATCACAAAATGTTGAAATTACGCATAAAGGAATGAGGCGAATTATCGCAAGTATTGCAAAACTTCTTGATGTGTGGGATATAGTCTCTCCAGATTTCTTACCTCTAGTCAGTCGATATTGTCAAGAATTAGGATTACCAAGTATGTCAATTATTTTATAGTTTTTGCAATGATTAATCGATTATTTGTATTTGATAGTAATGTATTTATAGAAGGCATTCAACTATATACAGAGAGACTAATAGCTCTGTCGCCTCCCAAAATGACATTCAATGCAAAGAAATCATACATTCCAAACTACGAAGGTCGTGCAATAGCGTTTATTATTGTGGTGCTAAAAATTTTACTTGGTTTAGATGGTATCACTGAATGTCAAGTCAGCAAAGTAGCAGAGAAGATCAACAGGTGAGTAATAAAAAAAAATGAACGTTTATTAGATATATGTACTTGCATGTCATTGCATTTTATGTTTTGAACCTCAAAATTTGTAATCGCTCGCGTAGTTGTAAAAATATATTCGAGTATCTTTGACATATTTACAAAAGAAAATGCAGCACGAAAAATATTGTTATTGGCAACAGAATAACTCATACGATAATATATTAGACAAAGTACATGAAAAAATAGGAGCAGGGGAATGCAAATGTTATGAAAATAATCTTCCTTGCATAATTGTACATGGCGGTGCTGGAAATTTTAACGATTCTATAGTTATGGAAAAAATGACAGCTTGCAAAAAAGCTGCTATCAATGGGTATAAAAAATTAGTAACCGGCGAGAGCGCAGTGGATGCCGTAGAGACTGCTTTATGGTGGTTGGAATGCGATGAATTTTTTAATTGTAGTTACGGGTCTGTGTTAAATGAAATAGGTATATCTATTATAACGTTATTGTATATATATTATAAAATATTGTATACTCGTAATAATACCCGTAATGTAGGAAAAGTACAAATGGATGCAAGTATAATGGATGGTTCAACGTTCAAGTGTGGATCAGTAGCGGCGGTTTCAGACATTGAACATCCCATAACACTCGCAAAATACGTTTTACATAATTTTCCAAATTCCATTTTTGTGGGTGAAGGTGCGAAGAATTTAGCAAAATACGCAAATATAAATTGGTTGTCGGAGGGGAGCATGGAAGCCCCTCTAGCGCGTATAGCTTATTATTTAGAAGAAGGGAAATACGAAGCAGACGTCGATAATCAAAGTCTATTGGGCGTTGATATGTTATCGAGTAAATTAATCGTCGTTGAGACTATGATGATGAAACTAATAAAATTCTGCATATTTATGTAGCTATTATTTGTAGATAGCTTTGGTACCGTCGGTTGTGTAGCGTATGACGGACACGGCATTGCTGCTGGAACCACGACAGGTGGTTTAAATAAAAAGTTAGTAGGAAGAGTAGGGGACACTCCACTATTGGGTTGTGGTACATATGCTACCAAGAATATAGGTTGCTCTTTAACAGGGCATGGAGAGACTATAATGAAATTAGGATTAGCGCGTGAAATCGTAGAAGATATCCAACACAATTTTACAGGGAAGGAAGCCCTGCATAAGTATTTTTCCTACATGTCGAACACGTTCGAGAAAACCGGTGGTGGTATTACTCTTCAATCGAACGGTCGTTGGGCAACACACTTCACTTCCGATAAAATGCCGTATGCAGTAATTGCGAATGACGTTATTACGTTCGGGGCAAGATTGCACGAAGAAAGAAAAGAGCTGTATGGCAAGCGTAATAAGAAAAATTGTGGATGCGACTGTTCCGTTAAAATTGTATTTACACTGCAAATATTCATCTAATGTTCATCGAAGTAACACACAGAAATTATCTTTTTACGTTTTGCTGATGCAAAGAATTTTTTATTACAGTGTGGCTATTAAACGAGGTTTGCTGGAAGAAAAATTGTTTAGTTTCCGAGAGTGGCAAAAATATATCGAATGCCGGAGGACAATTTTGACGCACTTGCATTTTCCAACCAAGATGAAGTATAGTCCGGACACGCACGGGATCTGCGATCTGTACATAAAATTTTTGGAATTCATTACTTCGAAGACGGATAGAAACGAACTAGATATACAACATGCTAAACACTTTTTACCGGAAGAACTCGTAGAGGCTATGACAAAGTACATTACCAATTTAAGTATCAATGATTTACCACCGAAGGCAATAGATATATTTCCGGCATCTTTGACGCCTCTTCATTCTTATCTTCAATTTATATTGGATGATCCACTTTCTGACTTTCCTAGCGTCGTAAGAAACGACTTTTATCTTACAAAAGTTGGGTACATGACGAAACCTGATTCGTAAGTAATTGCTGGTCGTTACTTGTAATTGTATTCTTGTCATTTCATCCTGACAAGTTCAATTCAAATTTGTTCATCTCATTTTTAGTCTCATGGAGTTAGCAGCGCAGTGTAACATTAATTTAGAGATAATTGATTCGAATTTACATTTTCTCGAAAAGATCGTACCGCCTTTTGAGCAATCTAAAATGCCAAGTATAGAGGAACTGAAGCAGTTCGTTGACGTGCAGGATGATTTTACGGACCAACATGTGCAAAAAAGTGAAAATCTAAATGAATATTTACATAGAAAAATACCATGTGAAGTAAAATTCAATGTTACCAAAAAGCACTATTACGACAGTGTTAGAAATTCAGTAAAGGATTTCGAAAATACTGACTTAGGAAGTGACTTTACATTTTCTGAAATTTTACCGAATGGTAAATTGGCGATTCCCAGTGATAGCGACAACGAAGATGAGAAAGAAGATGTAGATCTTAATAATAGAAGTAATCAGGAAAGTATACTGGGAAATAAGTTCTGTGATAAATACAATTTACGCTTGTCGTCTACGGAAAAAGAGTCTGTTAATAAGTCAAATATAATTAAGAAAATGCATTTTAAGAAGCACAAGTATCAGATTGCACGGGATACTAAAGGTCGATTCGTCAAAGGAAGTATTGTACCCGTGAAAGTTGAAGTTGACGAGGATTCTTTTTCCGAAATGGATTTATCTTTACGTACGAGTACGCAAATAAATGTACAGGAAGGGACTTGTACCGATATCGAGAAAGCAATAGAAGAACAATTGTTCTTTAACGATATAGATATTAATAATATAACAATTGACGATATAGATATTGAATCCGCGTTTCCGAATTTGGACGACTATTTTAATTTAAGCGAAATTTCATTATATTGCAACAATAATGGTATTGCCAAGCCGGAAACAAATCAGAAAACAAGTACAGTTACGGAGAAACATAGATTTTTTAGACCTTTCAAACATTATTGGATGTATCATTGCATTTTTAGTCGCGTGAAACCAAAAAATTTCGCGGTGTTCGAAAGAGCGCTACCAAGAAATTTTCGTTGGCTGTTAAACGAGTGTGCACACGTCGTGGAAATGTCTGTGGATGATCTTTACGAAGAAGTATGTTTAATAGAATTTTATCACGCGTATGTTTTAAAATCTAGTTCCGAACAAAATCGCACCGATTCAATATCGAAGAATAAAATAAATATTGTTTTAAATAAATGGTAATACGATATTGAAACGAAGAAATTTGACGATGGATTGCAATATAATAGAACTCATCCGACCATGTTGGTACAACTGTATATCGTAACAATATATCGAGATTTCGATCTAATGGTTAAAATCTTCATAAATTGTTCCTACCGGAAGTATTTTTCTGCTAAATTTGTTTGATAATATTAGGTAAAAGATCCAATTACTGTCACCTAAACCCAAGACCCAATTACTATCCTCTTAAACAAAAATTTCTGTATCAATGAAGTTCGACGATACTTTTGTATAGCATGTTTCTATAAATGAAAATGTGTACATATTGTAATATTATAAACATTGTACGTAAAATATATAAATGAAAAATTAGGTTAGGTGCGCGCAGATTACAACATGGGTGATCGGAACAGCGTAGTTTTGTTTCTACGAGTAAATACTATCTTCGCAGTAATCCTAAAATATGCCGAACGTTTGTACCAATCGCTGTTACCAAAATATTACATAAGAAACTTGATCAATCGTTGTACTACGATTGCTATTTTCTATAATGGTTATACAATCTAAAAAAAATCAATTTATTATTTTTATACCTCAACTATTATAATAATAGCCTTTCCTTTAGTATCTAATCGACTTAAAATTCTTTATCGTTTCATAAAAAATAAATAATAAAAAATATCAAGCGTTGTTTTTTCTGTCATATTAATCCAGTAACTGCTACCGATAACCGTTCAATCATAATATATTTTTAAAATGATAATAATGTACGTTACGTCTAGAGGTGCATAATAATGTTTAAAAAATGTGACAAAGAACAACACAGAAAAAGTGGTTATGTATTTGCGATCCCCGAACGAGGACATGGTAATTAATCTGTTAATAGACCATACAAATTGCATGTAAAACAGTTTAGCGTGACAGTAAATGGATCATTTACTCCGTATATTCTAATTTCTTCCTAATTTTGATTTCATTATTTGTCTACACGACCATCACGTACGGCGACAGCAATGTAATTCATCGAGAAACGTAAGTTCGTTCCGAGAAGACATTTAGTAAGATTACGAAAAAGAAACACACCGTTACTCTTGTACGAGAAAAAAAAAAAGATTTTATGTACATATTTAGTGCCGTCGCTGGATGTACCATTATTGATTTTTAAAACGAGCATCCTAATTTTTTTGTTTATCGACCGCGTACGACGAGAATCGTTGGTGTAGCGTTAATAACGCGAGTCGACATGGTGGGGCGCTCTGGTCAAGCAACTGTTGCACTCGTCGAGAGTCTCGACAGTTCGCGGTGTGTTCCTCGTTCCGAGCCTTAGACTCGAGGGACGACGGAGCGGAGCGTTTCGTCAGTAGTAAACATCAGTTGGCGTAAGACAGTCTCGGATGGCTGTCATCGTTCCACGCTCGCTACCACGGTACGTGGTGTGTATACGATCAGGCGGCGGTGTGTACGCGCTGGCCGCGTGTGCGTTCGCGATCATTTCTTGAGGAACCTGCACGGGATTATTCGTGCGTGCGTGCGTGCTTGCTTGCTTGCGTACACCGAAGGAAAACTTCTCGTCCCCCTCGTGCTTCGGAGTGTACTGGTCGTCGTTACTTGTGGCATTGCCCATCACGTTCATCGAAAGTGCACGTCGTTATTAGTTTCGCGCTTTCCACTCGACGTCACACCTGCTCCGCGGTGTCCTGGTGTCGTTCACCGAGGCTCCTTATCGCCCTGCCGTTGCAACTTCCTGTTCGCCGTAAGTCTGCACCAAATTCGTTAATATCCGTTCGCGAAATTACGTCTACTCGAAATTGTCGGTACGTCGCTGGGACAAGGTTCTACGCGCGCGTAATTTACGGTGTCCCCTCGAAATAGATTCTACATTAATCTCATATCGCTACGTGTCGGATTCATCGATCTCCCTTAACGGCACAATGCGTTACGTCGTCCCGTAAGTAACCGTTTTCCGAATTATATTTCGCGATTATATCGAAAAACGAGACTATTACATTTAGACTTTGTTAAATTTTATTTTTCCCTCGATTATTAACGTTACGTATTGGTCTCGTCTTTTTTGTATTCGAAGGGTTTCGAAGAGTTATTGGGAAAGGTATGATACCTAACCGTAGTAACATTTTTCGTTTATAGAACGGGTTAATGATTCAGTAGCTTCGAACGAGGACAACGAAGGGATATCGTGTCATTTTAAAAAATAAATTTGGTACAGAAACCCTTCCCACGGGCTTCTGCGTATTACATTTGTGCAATTAGATATGCACTTTTTGGCATGTCAATCGACAGGATGTGCAATGTCGTGCCAGATCGATTTCGATTCGTTCGGCGTTCGATCTATGGAAACTTGCATGGCTATCGTTCGCGACGCGTGGTCATTGCCAACCTGTAACAGTTATTAATTTCTCTAGTAAGAAGATCGACGACCAGACCAGTCGTTTGTTTGGTTGGCTTCGATCTAAGTCGCACTCCCACGAATCACGTTCTTGTCTGCTTTTTTGTTCCTCGACGTACCAGTCATTAACTAGGGATTTATAGTTTTTTTTATGTAGATTCCGATCATTACGAACAACTGCCAAAGGCCCATAGAAGTTCTTAGTAATTCGTCTTTGCTTTCGTTTTATTTCCTCACAGTACGAAATTGATGAAACGTGTATTGTACGAGATTATTTCGAGCGGTTCACGCAAAGCCGGCAAAAAAGTGACATGGACACCGAACGTTCGACAGCATGCAATTTCTTCGAGAATTACCTGGGTACATTACGTCAATCGAACCAAACGTATTCGTTGCAAAAAGTCCCACGACGCACTTTTAGCTCATTGTTTATTGCGCCCTATATATTTCGAAATCGTTCGAACAGGAATGTATTTACGTTTAAAAACAAGATCATTAATTCGCGAATTTTGAAAGTCACCACCATTTTCTTGCAGATTAACATGTATTTTTTATAACGCAGCATCATAGTGAATATCAAGACGAATCCAACGATCATACTACCGACCTTCGAATAACATCGAACGAACAAATCTTGCTAGCTCAAAGGCAATTGAAAATTTCTAAAGTTTCGATTTATCGTAAGTAATAAATTTATTTATTTTACATTCTTTCATGCTTTCTGACGTGGTAAAAAACTTGATTTTTGCATCGTTGGAAGATTTAAAAAATATGCTGATATCGTTGATTTATTTTTAGATCGATCTTTAAACGCGATTAAACGGATTAAAGGCACACGACTTTTAAGTCACGATCGCGCGTGGATGTATCCGTTTTCGCGATAATGGTCAGGCGAAACGAACGGATCCGCACCCCGGTGCAGTTAGGTTAAGAAACGATCACTGTGTAGATCCTTATCTGTTTTTGGGCGTAGTGAGATAAGGTGATTTATACACCATCGAAAACGACCTCACGTTTCGCGGGATCTTCCATTGCTGTTTCCTTTTTTTCTTGCATCGTCAGTGATGAAACGCGCAAAACGATTTTTCTGGAGATTAGAATTCTAGTTCGTATAATATGAATGAATACAGTGTTATTTTATCTACCAAATGATTTTCATGAAGTTAGGCATTTTACAGTATACATGAAATCAATTTATAGGATTTGGGGCTGTTTCGATTACATTAATATTTTCATTTTGTCCACCTAGATCTATGAAATTAGACACTGTGTATTTTATGTCCAACGGTAAACTTTTTAATCGATCAAATAAATTTAAGCTATCGACGTCGGTTCGCTAAAATGTTGATGGCCAGTATTTGCGAATTTTTATTGCATTAGGTTCCGAAGCGTGACGTAACCTCGCGTCGGTCGCACCTGATGGATCTCGGATAAGTATAGGCGAACGTCGTGCACACTCCGAGACAAAAAGATAGCACGTATCACATTTTTTCATATTCGGTACTATTAACTGGGAAAAATTTACTATTTCAACATAATACGTTAATATCTTTTAACCCTTTGCGGTCGTATGTCTGCTCTCAGCCACCACAGCAAGGAACTATACGAATCGTATACTGTATGCATTCATGTATCAGTTTACACTTTTCCTATACGAACCTCAATGCCTAAAGGACCTATTCACGAACCAATACGATGCTCCATCAATTGGGGATAACGTAATCTAATGTACACAAAAGTTGTAACTCGTCATGCAAGACGCAGTGGCGAGTCAGTCGTCTTTTGAACGTAGTGAAATCGACAACGTTCGACGATACCTTGTAGAATTACAAAGAATATTTTATAAATTGTATTTAACAGTAATTAGACATTCTCTCTTCTTAAAATATTCCAAAATAATTCCCCAAAATGCGATACATGAACTCGAAAACCTGGCCTGCATGTTGGAGAGTGTTTTGAAAAATATCACACGAAGGAGAATTATAAAACATAATTTTTATACAAAAACATATCACAAGATGAGTGTATTGAATAAAGATATATCTAAAGTTCACAAAAGAATTACTAAAACTCGTTTATACATCGTAAACTTGCGCGTTATGTATCCCTGCTCTATCGACGGAAATTAATTCCGACCAGTACGATACCCATCTCCAAATTTAATCCGACCGCAAAGGGTTAATATACAGGCAACCTTCTTTATAACACAGTAGATAGGTTCCTAGAGCCACCACAAAAAGGGGGGTTACGTTTCGAAAATTTATTAAAAATAAATATTTTTTTTTTATAATAAATGTATAACACAAAAAAAAAGTTAGATAGCATGAGTAAAAAGAATGGAACTCGTAACGTTTATTGAAAATATATCAGATCAATTTTACAGGCGTAAAATCGCCCGACGGCCTTTCGGATGCATTCATTTTTTTTTTCTGGGTGTGACAACCGGTCGATTTGTGTGGCCGTGCGCGCAAGGGGGAACTTTATTTTTAATTTCAATGACTCCGTGCAACCTATAATTCGTATCGATTTTACGACGATATAAAAAGGAAAAGAATAAACTGTTTCTGGCGCAATGAATCGTTAAATGGTTCGACGAACCGTTCGTTCCTCCGAGTAAACCGGGGAACGACCACGCCGTCCCGACGAACGTGCATCATCGATTACACATTGTTAACGCGATCAACATTGCAGAGCCGAACGAGCCCTGTTCGCCGTGTCCCCGACTGTTGGTTACACGTTTTCTACGTATGTACACGTACAGCCCCGCGAATGTTTCTGCACGGTTTGGGAAACGAACGATTGGACGTCGTCCAGCTATA